CGCTAGTACTAATATTTTCGTAATACGACGAGGCGCTACCTCGCTGTCGCTAAAATAAGTCCCGCGACGCGTCCGATTAAAACAAACTAGCGACTAACAACACTAAAACTATACTATACCGACCTATTATTAGATAACACAACTATTATTACGAAGCACTACTACGACCTCGGAGCATAGACTGCATAGTTAAAGGGCGAGCCTAGAAAGAGCAGACCGACTAAACAAGACGCGCTTCGAATGCTAGATAAACTAGTAGAGCTCTACCTAAACTACGCGTCCTAAGTAAATAACTACGCGACGAACGATATTAGCAAAATGCTATATAACATTCAAGCGAGAATGATTGCTTCGGTAGCGATAGGGAAGGAGACTCTCTACTGCGTACGGACTAGCCTTCGCGGTAATGCCCTCGTAGTCCGTAAATCTACTTAAGCCGTATAGAAGGCGGTCCTCTCTTTACGGAGCTTATACCTCGGCTAAGGGGGAAGAACGAACGAACAATTATTAGTATACTCCCTACGAATTCGAATACCCGACCTAGTAATATAGAAAGCCCTCCGGACAGCCGACTAAGAACTATATAAGATACTCTCTCTAATCAATAAGAACGCCCGAAATTAGGGAGTCTAAGTACAGATAGCAGTAGCTAAACAACTACTATTAGGCGACCTAGAACTACACTTCGATAGCTACGCGGAGAGAGAGCAATTTATACGACAATCGGCACCGTTTTTAAATAGACTAGGCTTAGGAACTACTATTATTACCTATACCTACCTACTAGTCGTCTATAGCATACTAATACGCACAATTAGCATATATGCGGCAGGCAAGCAAAAGGCTATTAAGGAAATCCTCCTATAGAATAGTATAGCTATACTAAACGGAGCGATTACCTATATCGGCTAGCTAGTTAAAACTAGGGCGAACAGCAAACCGACCTTATTAATCGTTCTATACTTTACCCGCGCTTTAGACGCTAATAAGGTACTCGGATAAGGCCTACGATAGTATAGCAGCCTATGCGTAGCCGAAATCTATAAGCTAGGCGCGAGAATCTAGTAGTACTTTAAATGCTAAATATATAGTTATAACGGAACCCGGTGCCGTACGCTAGATCGATGCCTACTATATGCTAGGCTATATAAGAAGGAGGCTTGCCCGCTAGGCACACTACTATACTACGCACTATGTGCTAGGCTATATATAGCATTTAGCGAGGGCTGCCCTAAGAGGAGGAAGGCTAAAGCAAAGGCGGCGAAGAGCCGTAAACACCGTATAAGGTTTAACGTTCCTACTAAGGAATAACTAACAAGAAAGCAAAGCATTCGAGCAGTAGAAGTAGGCGACCGGCGAGACCCGGAAAGTAGCTAAGCTAAGACGCTAGGGGTACAATCAAAACAGACCGGCTACATTATACTACCCGACTTAGACCTATAAAGTAACTAGGACCTACTAGAGAGGCTCTATTCGGATATAGGTAAACAACGCGTCTAACGCGTCTCGGACCCTAGCGGTAGTATAGCAAAAGCAACAGCTCCCGCACTAAGCACTAAAGCAAATTTAACGTCTTTATCGCTAACTCTAGTCGTACTAATACCCTACCTAACGTAGACGCAGAGGGAAACCTAGCTAGAAGCTATACCTGTTTTTACCGATCCTAAAGACTACTACTAGGAGCGCCCGTTAACGACTGTAGTAGGAACACTAAAGAAAGGCAACGTACCGCTTTTACCGCTCTCCTACTTAAAGACCCGCATTCGGGACCTTCGGGCTAAAGCTAAAGCGTTTAAAAACCTTATTCAAGCCGAGCAGGTCCGGGAACGCGCTAAATTACGAAAGAGAAAGCAACTATTTAACGAGGACCCTCTTTAGTAGTATACTAACGGCTAGCAATCTAGCGCGGACTTAGGCGACTCTATCGGCGACATTAATATACTTAAATTACTAGAGGGCGGTAGAGGCAAAAGAACTAAGACCCTTATACCGAGTAGCTAATAGGTAGCGGCGCTTATCGCTAAAAAGAAAGCTAACAGCCTAAAACGCAAGAAAGTAGCTACCTCCTCTTCGAATAAAGAGAACGAACTACTAATAAAGAAAGTCGCTAGAATTACCTAGCAGTTAACTAAAGCGCCCGTCTATACCTTACCGAAGAAAGTCCTTATAGAAGACGAAGAATAGATACTTAAACTAGTATAGGGAGACCCCCTACTAGGGGACGATAGCGATAGCAGCTCCGGCGACAATAGTAGTAGTAGCAACGAGTCGACGGACTTACCGAATTAACCGGACAGTTACGACGACGTAATAGACCGGTAGGGCGGCTACTCTCGAAGACGCTACGAATACTTTAGTATAATGTAGCCGGTAGCCTTTACCGGATAGCCGCGCTCTTCGATAGTAATTAAATTTATAAATACGATATTATCGCTATTTAGGAGCCCTATCTAAATCGATAAAACGAAGGCTACGTAATAACCTACTACCTATAGAAGGACCTCTTCTAGCTACTCTTCTTAGGAAAGCTAGACGTACGAGTAGCAACTTTCGTAACTAAATATTAGGATACGAGCAAATAGATAACTTATCTTACTAAGGAATACGTTTACAAAATAACTATCCGGTCGGGGCTACAAACGGTAACAGTAATTAATGCCTACTAACCGCCGATTAATAATAATTCTACGGTAATTCAATACCTCTACCGGCATATTACAAGGCATACGATAATAGTTAGGGATTTCAACGCCTACTATTAAGACTAGATGCTAGACCGACCGAATAACGCTAGGGATAGGCACCTTGCCTAACTAACTTAGGACTACTATTTGGTTTAGGTAGTCCCTCGCGGCTAAACTATACGAATTAACCCGCGAGACGGGGGTATATCTACCCTCGATTTAGTCTTTTACTCGCTAACGGTAACATACCGCAACCTCTCGGTTAGTACTAAACACGACTAGGATTTAGACTATCTCCTAATCGAATCGACCTTCCTCTTCGCCGATCTCCTATTAAATTAGAAGGAAGAACCCCGAAAGAAATAGAAGGATACCGACATTTACGCCCTATCCGCTTGCCTCCGCTAACTCTAGGTACTAACAATACAAGAGCTAGACACCCTAGAGAGGCTAGATAAATGTGTAATTAGACTTTAGGCTATCCTTTGCTAAGCTATAGAGGAAGCAGTACCGACGGTTCGCTATACCGAAGGCAGGACTAGGACCGGATAGAAATTAGGCTTTACCTAGCTCCGCTAGGAGATAAGACGACTAAAACGATACCTCCGACGCTATCAAATTACCGAGGGACCTAAGTACGAAGAATACCGGTAGCTATATAAAGAATATAAGCAGAAAATCCGAGCCTAGAAGCGTAAGAGCTTTAGGTAAGATATAGTAGTATGCGATAACAACCTGCTACGCCTATAGAAGGTAATTAAATAGAAGTCTAACTAGGGGTGCCCGCGAACCTTACACTTTCCGACAATGTAGTATAAAGGCCAATTAGTTACCTCTAGTTACGATAAAGCTAAACTCCTCGAGGCCGCCTTCTTTCTAATATAGAGGTAGGCAGACCTAGCCGATATTACGCAGGATTTTACCTACCCTAAGCTAATCCCCTACCCGCCGATTACCCTCTACGAGGTAGCGTTAGCGGTAAAGAAGATAGCTACCGGCAAAGCACTAGGACCCGACGGAATCCTAGCGGAGATAATTAAGAAAGCCTTGCTATACCTACCGCTATCTGATAAAGACCTATCCGATCCCGACTATAAGTCCGAATTAGATAACGAAGACACTCCCCTATCTAGTAGCGGCAGCTCTAACTATACCGCTAACACTACGGCGAGCGCCCGCTAACTAAGGGATAAGGAGAATATTAGACTAACACCGTTCTACGTATACTTAACGGCCCTCTTTAATATATCTCTAAAGCTCGGCTACTACCTATAAGCGCTACGGACATCTACGACGGTCGCCCTTTAAAAGCTAGGTAAAGACCCGGTAATACCGAAGGGATACCGACCGATTGTATTACTTAATATAATTAGCAAATGCTTAGAAAGCATTATTACAGAGAGAATGCACTAGGCATTCGAAACCTAGCAAATCCTCCCGACTAGCTACTTTAGAGGCAGAAAGGGCTACGTAATAGATAAGGCCCTTTACTCCCTAATCGAACTGATAGCCGACTTATAGTAACAAGGCGGTAAAGCCTCCGCACTAGTACTCGACATCTCCGGCGCTTTTAACTACGTCTCGCATTAAAGGCTACTTTATAACATACGTAGACGCCGCCTAGGCGGCGAGCTAGCTAAATAGACATAGAGCTTCCTTATAGGCCGGAGAACACGCCTGCGATTACCGGACATTATAGTACCGGAAGCAGAGGTTACCGTCGGGATACTATAGAGCTCGCCGCTTTTACTACTACTTTTCGTAATCTTTAACGCAGATCTAGTTAAGCAAACGAGCGCGGTCGAGAACAATATATTAGTAGCCTAGATTAACGACGTAACTATACTAGTTACCGGCCCGACAGTAGAGGCAGTTAAAAGGGTAATAAAAGAGTTAGTTACTATCTACGAGAGATAGTTAGCGCAATACGTAGCTATCTTTACACCGGCTAAGTTCTAACTTATCTACTTCTACGCCCTAGGCACCCGCTACTAAACGATAAGAGACTCCGCCTTTACTATCGAATTTTAAGGGACAATTATCTAACCTACGGCGGCGGTTAAAATACTTAGAGTTACGCTAGACTTACGGCTAACATTCGCGGTATACCGAAAGGATATCGAAGCTAAAGCTACAAAGAAAACTAACGTTATCGCTATACTAAACAAATCCTTATAGGGAGCCTCGCTAATAGTAGTACGGCGAGCCTACCTAGCGACTATCCGACCCCTTCTCGTATATAGTGCTTTAGTCTAGTACCGACCTAGTATAGCGGACGCAAAGAAAGCAGCAAAGCTTATTAATTCTATTTAGCACCTAGCAGCCTGTTAGATCGCCGGCGCCTTTAAAACGACCTTATAAGCAGTACTGCACACTAAGCTGTATATTAAACTAGCTAAGGTGTACCTCTAATTAGTATGCCTCCGTACTTTTATTAGAATAGCTAGTCGACTATATAGTACTATACTTATTAAATGTGCAGATACGGACGCACGCCGGAGATAGACTATACTACTCGCTTACTACAAACAAGCGTACCTAGTAGTAGGCGGTACGCTGCTGCTCTAAGTTTAACAAGTCTTTATTAATACGCTATAGGGAGAATACCCGAATATAGCAATACTAGATAATACCGACGAAGCTATTCGAAGGCACGACGAGACCTCTCGGCTACCCGGTATTTATATCTATACCGACGGATTACTTAAAGAAGACAAAAAGGGTAACAGCAAACTCGGCTGCTCGGCGGTATTACTAGACGGGAGAGTCTTCGAATTAAGACTACTCGGTATAGCCCCTTTCTTATTATCTTTCTACGTAGAAGTATACGGGCTTTTATTAGCACTCTAATCGATTATTTACTATAGTCTAGTTAAACCGGTTTACATCTATACCGATAATAGGGGACTCGTACAAAGAATTACCGATACTAACGCTAATATAGTATAGGACGCTATCCGACAATTTCACGAGCTACGGCTATATATACTATGCCCTATCGCAATCTAATAGATACCCGGCTATTCGGGCATACTAGGCAATAAATTAGCGGACAAACTAGCAATAGAAGCCGCCGATAGAGCGCGACTAATTCATTCATCCCTAACCTATAACTATAAATAGGCAAAAGGACAAATCGACACCTTCCTTAAAGGTAAATAGCAACTTAAATAGGCAGACGGCGATATAGGACGGAGTGTCTACCGACTATAGCCGCATATAACTAAAGACGTCCTTTAGAGATACTAACAAGCTAGCCGGCCGATAGGAAGTATTATTACCTAAATGTAGACAGGAAAGATAGCCCTTAACTAATACCTCTATAGAATCGGAGCAGTAGGCAGCCTATTCTACGGCCTATGCATTAACGAGGATAATTACGAGCTATAACGCTAAACGCCCGTATATATACTACTCGAATGCCTACGACTAACTAAAGACAGAGACAATATATAGGCAGCCCTCGGTAAACGAATTACTAACCTTAACCTCCTTCTTAGTAACTTAGCGATAGTATAATAGGCAGCCCTATTACTACTAAAGGCGAAAGTCTTATAGTAGTTTAGGGCAGTCGATCCGGAACTCGTAGAATCTAAGCATAGCGACCTAATTTAAAAGCAAAGCGAGGCATTGAACTCTAAGAGAGAAGCTAAAGCTATAAAGAAAGCCGCGAAATAGGCACGCTAGGCTTAGATAAAACGAAGACACGCGGAGGCTGCTAAGCAAGCAATTACTTAAGCATTACCGGGTCTAAGTCAAGTAGTATATAGTACTTATATACAAAGAACGTACTACCGTTCTAATTTAGTGCCGCTAAAGCGGCTATACGAGAGACATCCGCCTAGACCGTTAAGCTACTACTAATCTTTGCTAAAGTATACTATAAAAAAGGGACGAAGGGTTATAACTAAGCGATTAAGTATAACGAAGCTGCTAGAGGGACTACCTACCGTTATAGGTCGCGGAAGGGCTTACGGACTATAGTAGAAGGATACGAATCCTAGGTAACGAACGACTTACTATAATACGACTTAACGCGCCTAGCTTTATTACCTCGCACCGCTTATTACGGGGTAACCTTAGGACCCTGTTTATATAAGGCTTAGCATGTGACCTTAGGACCCTGTTTATATAAGGCTTAGCATGCTTAGTTATAGCTTCGTTATCGGCTTCGCGTACTTCAACTCGCGTTGCTTCTTAGACTTAAGCTCTTCGTAGCAAGTACTCGATATTAAACGTACCTATACACTTCCGCCCCTTGTTATTACTTACTATCCTTAGAAGCTTAGAAGCTATTTAGCGACCGCCGTATAGAACACAGAAGCGCTAAGTAGCCGCTAGAACACTCGACTTAACTAGATTAGTCTTTGTTTACGATAACTAGTACCTTCGTAGTAGCATACGACGAGCCGATACTACCCTCGACTTACCCTTCGTATATCGCACTCTAGAGAAAGCGTATAACGAGCCCGACCGACAATCGGATCCCCTTTCTAATACAGAAGCCCGACTACTTTGCTAGACAGCTATAGGTAGGTAGTAACCGAGGAAAACTGCTTATTCCTATACCGAACCTAAACGGAGCGCTAGCGCTATACGAAGTAGACGGCAGACTCGAAGACACCTTCCTCGATATAGAAGGTAGTATATTTAGGAAGTTTAGCGGAATAGGAGGAGGACTATCTTAGAACCTATTTAGAGTTCTAGGAGCTAGCATCTCTTAAGATACTCTAGCTAATACCTAGTAAGAGCAGGAGCGCCGTTAGCAACGCGCCGCTTAAATAGCTAGGTAGCAAAAGGAATTGTAGGCGGAATACGACCGCCGCGTCGCTCGAGATAGCGGGTAGGGCACCGCTACTCGGAAGGGAGACGCACTCTCGCTTACTCTATTTGTGCCGATTAAGCGTAAGGGTAATAATAATCGAGGATACGACTATAAGCGTATATATAACCTAAGCTACTTTAAGGTAAAGGATATAGATAAGCTTGTTACGCGGGTTACGTAGAATAAGGAGGAGTAGATAGAAACACTCGACGAATAGAAGCTTCTCTATAACTATAATAAGGACCTTGCTATCGAATAGCGCGACAAGCGTAAGGCCCTCGATAGGACTTTAATAGACGCTAAGGACCGCATTACTAAGCTCGAGGAAGAGACCGAGCGCCTAGAAGATAAGAATAAGCGTTTAGAGGCTAAGAATATAGAGGCTACAAATGCCCTCGAAACTAGAGGCACTAATCTTAATTAAGCCGCTCGTATTGCTAAGCTTAAGAAGGAGGGTAAAGAAGCTATAGAAGAAATCGAGTTACTATAGACTCGTATATAGGCACTAAGTAACGAGCGAGAAGACTTAGAGGCTTAGGTATATAATCTAGTAGTGTTCGTTAGGAAGTATACGCTAGATTATTATAATACCTAATACGACACTAGTATACTAAAGACACCCGGCGGTAGTAGATTTATAAAAGCCCGCCTAGACGAACTCGACGCCGCTTGCTTAGCTAAGGAGGCTACAACTCCTAAGCCCTTACGATTGCGCTAGCTGCTTAATAAGAATAAGCAGCCGACACCGCCTGCTTTACGGCTAGGCTTACTAACTAGTATTAGTAGTAGAGGTTTCGGCGGAGTTATAGACTCCGTTATCTTTAATAAGCGCACTTAGCGTATACCTCTTAAGGAGCCGGGTACTACTAACAGCCCCGTCGGAGCTATTGCCCCTAATATAGCTCGCTCTGCGAGCGCTCCGAATGCACTATAGACATTCTTATACCGAAAGAACCCTTATAATGCTCCGCCGAAGTACTCTAGCGATAAGAAGATAGACAAGATAGACTTTAAGGAATAGAAGGACCTTATCGAGTAATTTATAGTTTTTAAATCGAAAGTCCGGTCTAAGGACGAACTGCTTACTATCGTATATAATCGTATAACGGGTAATGCTCGTATGCTCCTTCGACCTTATAAGGAGGTAGGCAGTTTTAAGACCTAGCGTAACCCGATCGACACCTTAGAGACTAGTAGCTATAGCGCCTATTATAAGAAGCGTTAGCGGAGACAGGCACTACGGGACCTAACTTAATCGGCTAACTAGACATTCGACGACTTCTATACGAAGTTTTACGGACATATCGTCTATCTTAGGTATTTAAGTACTAAGGAATCCCGAGAAGAGGCGATAGCGTTATTACGCGAAAAGGTTAAATTTAACTTGCGTCGGCAGATTGCTAGTCGGACGTATAAGTCGCTTCCTAAGATAAAGTTAGCCCTCTAGTAGATTAAAGTTAATCTTAACGATATCCCGACCCGAGCTTAGGACAATGCTATAGCTAAGAAGCCTGCCGCACTAAAGAATACTATACTAGCTACGTAGAAGAATACCGCTACTAGCTATAAGGACGTCTCTAGTAAGCTACGTAAACAGCGCTTAGAAGAGAAGATTAAGGAAGAGTATAACATTGCTACTGCTAGGGCAGCTAGCATTAAGTATCGCGCTCTAACTAAGGAGGATTTAGCTAAAGCTAAGGAGAAGGAAGTCGAGGTTTGCTTTGCCTATAAGGAGACAGGTTACAGTAAGTAGTACTCTTCCTACCCTATAAAGCCGTTCCGTAAGACTAATACAAGTGCTATTGCTATCGAAGAGAACGGTAACGGTATAAAGCAGCTTACTTAGGGTCCGGAAAACGAGTAACCTCTAGCGTACGACGCGGCGCTAGAAGGTCTCTATTACTAATTACGTCTAGTACGGACCCGCTACGACCGGCCTCGCCGAACGATCTTCCTATACCTAATTATTATCGATTACGACCCTCTACGCCTATATCCTAAGAACTCGCCGAAGAAGGTAATTTGCTACTTATTATACGCAAGCACTCGGCAGTAGCGATAAACGTAATTTCGGCAATAGAAGCTAGCAACGTTCCTATACGTACTAAGAACTTTGTCGTCTATAGCTATATTATAATAGCTAATAGAACATATATTATAGTACGTATCCTTATCGACCTAGGCGCTAAGTCTAGCTTTTATAGTATAGACTTCGCAAAGAAGATACTAAACCGCAAACTCCTTCCTAATACTTAGCGCCTTACTATAGCAAATAATACTATAGGCCTCGCTACCGAATGCACTACTATACGCCTAGACCTAAACGGCTACATTAAGAACTATAACCTCTATATTGCTAATATAGGCAATCGCGACCTAATCCTCGGAATAGACTAGATATAGAAGCACGACCTAGAAATCCGTTAGAGAGATATAATATTAACGTTCCGATCTAAGTGCGACGACTACTGTTCTAGCACTCCTATAGTCCTGCGATGCGAAACTTATAAGAAAGGTAATAATTCTCCCCTCGGTATAGCATCGATAGATATAGAAGAAGCCGTTAGCCTTACTAAAGAAGAGCTAGCTAAAGGATACCTAGTTTAGGAATTTCCTACTAGTACGGATAAGTTAGCAGCAATTAACGTAGTAGATATAGAATTGAATGCTATTACTGCTGCAGACTTTAAGAAGTTTATAAAGGAGAAGCCGGACCTAGATCTCGACTTACTCTTACCTAAACAGTTTAAGGGCTATAAGGACTGTTTCGACCCGAAGGTTGCTAACACCCTACCGCCGCATAGGCCCGATATAGATATAGCTATTAAGTTTAAGCCTAGTGCTAAACTACCTTATGCGCGACCCTATCTAATAGGAAGGCAGGAATTAGAAGCGACGTACAAATACGTCCGCGACTAAGAGAAGAAGGGCATAGTTAGACTATTAACCTTACGTATCGCTTCGCTCGTGCTTATTATTAAGAAGCCTAGCGGTAGCCTACGGGTGTATATTAATTACCGCGCGGTTAACGCTATTACTATTAAGAACCGGTACCCGATTCCCTAAGTACGAGAGATTATATCTAATATAAGCAGGGCTACGATCTTTACTGTCCTAGATGTTATTGCCGCTTTTAACGAACTCCGCATTCGCGCTAGAGACGAGTAGAAGACGGCATTTACGACCCGTTTTAGCACTTACGAATATCTAGTCGTACCCTTTAGTCTATATAACGCACCGAGTGTCTTCTAAGCCTATATTAATAAGGCACTTAAATAGTACTTAGATAACATCGTTACGGCTTACCTTAACGATACTATTATCTTTAGCGAGGACTATACCTCTAGCTACGTTATATACGTAGCATATATTAAGAAGATTCTTAACTGCTTCCGAAAGGCACGGTTGCTACTAGACATTAATAAGTCTAAGTTCTTCGTTACCCGCGTCAAATACCTCGGCATTATTATTATCGCTAGTAAGGGTTTAGAAATAGATCCTAAAAAGATTAAGGCTATCGTTAAATAGTAGCCTCCTCGCAATGTTAAGGCGGTACTTTCCTTCCTTAGCCTTACTAACTTCTATAGACGATTTATTCGCAACTTCTCGATAATCGTATACCCGTTAACTAAGCTTACTAAGGGCTAGAAGTAGAAGAACTAGGAAGGAAAGGCAAAGATTCCTCCTCGGCCTTTTATCTAGACTAAGGCCTATTAGAAGGCTTTCGACGCCTTAAAAAAAGCATTTACATCGGCGCTAGTACTAATGCACTACGACCTAGCTAAGCCCTATATAGTTGAGGCTAACTCCTCTAATACCTACACTAGAGGTATACTCTCTTAAGTTAAGAAAGATAGGTAGACACACCTAGTTGCCTTCTACTCTAACAAAATAAATCCTACCGAATACAACTACGAAATCTACGACAAGGAGCTTATAGCTATCGTTCGTGCCTTTGAAGAATAGCGGCCGGAGCTAATAAGCAATCCCTCTCGTATTATTACAGACTATAGAGGTTTATAGTACTTTATAACAATAAAGTAGCTTAATCGCCGTTAAGCCCGCTAGTCTAAGTTCTTATTATCTTTCGACTTTTAGATTAAATACTACCCTAGTAGGCTTAACGACCGAGCCGATGCCCTCTCTCGTCGAGACTAAGATATAGACGCTTCCGAAGATATAAAACATAGATAGCAGGTATTACTAAAGCTATACAACCTGTCTCCGGACGTACGGACCTCTCTCGCCGTCGCTATAGTCTCTATTAAGCTAGCTACTACGGCCTAGAAGCAATACCGTTGCGCTTTAGCTATTCTAGAGGCAAATAAGGCCTCTATCGAAGAAATAATCTCCGCGGTATACGCAAAGGATAAGCTTGCTAAGGTTATTAAAGCTGCTTTAAAGGAGGGGGTAAAACGCCTCCTATACTATATTAACGACATCGGCGACTTAAGATTCAACCTAAGCGAGTATAAATTCAAGGATAATATAATCTATATCTAAGGACGTACGTATATACCGGATATCGACAACCTGCGAGGAGAAGTAATTTTAGATATACACGACTCTATACTTGCTAGTTACCTAGGCAGAGAGATTACCTACGATATAATAGCCCGCTCGTACTACTAGCTAGGCATATATATAGACGTCGCTAAATATATAAAGGTCTATTATATTTGTAAAAGGATCAAATCTTCCCGTAAAGGTTACTAAGGACTGCTAAAACAACCGCTACCTCCTAATAGAGTATATAGTGTTATTACAATTAACTTTATTGTTTAGCTTCCTAAGAGCTACAACTTTAAAGGTGTACTATATAAGAATATTCTTACCCTAACTTGTCGCTTAACAAAGCGTAAGCATCTCCTAGCGGTCGTAGATTTAGAACCCGACATATCTGCCTAGACACTAGTATAGCGAGTGTTTAAGGACACTAGCCTCCCTAAGTATATCTTCTTAGATAGAGGCACGTAGTAGACTAGCCGTTTCTAGAAGACCCTTTGCGAGAGATAGGGAGCTAAGCGCAAGATGTCTACTACCTTCTACCCTATAACTAATAGTTAGTCGGAAGAAACGAATAAGGAGATAGAGCAATATCTTCGCGCCTTCGTTAATTATATATAAGACGACTAGGTTAATTACCTTTACCTATATAAATTTGCTTTAAATAACTACAAGTTAGCTACGACTAGCATTTTACCCTTCTATACTACTATCGGGAGACATCCGAATATAGGCATACAAGCGAGTGCTAAGACGCACGTACCCTCTATATAGAAGTTTAATAAGCGACTTACTAATAACTTCGCCGCGTATATAAAAAAGATTTACGACTATTATACGAATTAGATTACCTATATTTAGGCTACGCGCGAGGCGCAAGGTAGCAAACCGGCTCGATAGTACAAGGTTAACGACAAGGTTTAGCTAGATATACAGAATATTAAGACTAAGCGCCCGAGCAAGAAACTTAACTATAAGTTTATAGGACCCTATAAGATTACTAAGGTTATTGCGACCGATATGTATCGTCTCGAGCTACCGAGTAGTATACGTATCTACAACGTCTTCTATACTAACCTCCTACGACCTTCCGATATAACCGCCGCCGATGCTTTTCCGAACTAGTAGTATAAACCCGAGCCTAATCTAGTCGAGGCCGACGATAGCACTATTAAAGAGCATTAGGAAGTCGAGGAGGTGTTAGATAGCGCGTAGACTAGACCGGCATACAAGGGAGTTAAGTATACCGTTCGCTAGAAGGGCGGCGCTATTACGACTAAACCTTATATTAACTTAAAGGATAGCGTAGCCGACCTAATCGCTAACTACTATTATAAGAACCCGCAAGCGCCTAAGCTTAAGAGTTAGAAGCTACCTATTAACTAGGACCTAACTAAGGCTAATAGTAGCACTAAGGACAAGGACACTATCGTACCTGTCGCTAAGACTTCTACTACCGCGGATAAAGTCAATCTAACGCTTAGGAACGATATAACTAAAGAGACATCTATGCCTGCCGCAATAGGCACTACTATAGACTAGCCCGCTAGCGGCGCTATTAATACTAGCTTGCGACGCAGCTTAAGGCGTGCCGCTTAGATACGATAAACAGCTATTTGTAGGGTATAAGGCGTACCGCTTAGTTACGATAAACGGTCCCCGTCGCAAGTTAGAGATATAGTTAGCTTTATTACCGTAGAATAGAGATCCCTTTAACCTATTAGATATAGTTTAGTCGATGCGCTAACCGTCTTTATATATACTATAATTTACGAGGAAATAATAGAGTTAGAAAGGATATACCCTATAATTAATTGTTTGCTTTAAGCGATATTATACTAATAGATAAGCACCTTAGAGGGCTAAGCGCTAGTTTAAAAGGGGGGTAATATTACGGGGTGACCTTAGGACCCTATTTATATAAGGCTTGGTATGTAACCTTAGGACCCTGTTTATATAAGGCTTAGCATACTTAGTTATAGCTTCGTTATCGGCTTCGCGTACTTTAACTTGCGTTGCTTCTTAGACTTAGGCTCTTTATAGCAAGTACTCGATATTAAACGCACCTATACACTTCCGCCTCTTGTTACTGCTCTAGACGCCTACTATTTTCAAATAGGTAGACTAGTTCTTTAAGTCGATCCCCCGATAGCGCTATATATACCTTCTAATACGTACTATACGCTAACGAACCTAGTAGGCACCTAAGGGTAACTACGTATATACCGCGACGACAGTTAAATGCCGCGCGTACCCCTATTAGCGTAAATTAATGCTACGCGCCGCATCTACTTATACGGCTACTTAACCGAACGTCTCGCTAGCTAGTAAGCATACTAATAAAACTACTATCGAGCGGCTATCGACTAGAATAGCCCGAATATTAATACTAACCTCTTTAAAGCCTATTACTACTAGGCGTACGACTTATCGAAGCTAAGCCGCCCTATAATACTACTACTACCCTTAGACTCTGTATTTAAACTACTAATTAGAGTAGGTAGTGCACCTATCGCTTTAGGTAGTAGTAGAATAGACATTTATCTATAGTACGCCGGCAACTAGGTAGCTTAAGCCTACTGCTAGTAAGCTAACACATATATACTATACTTCTAACCGAGTAAGCAACCCCTTAGTTATATAAGGAGGCATTAGCTTATTTATTAAGACTCGTTAAGAGGCATATATTAATCTAAGGGACATTGAAAGACGTACCAATCAAATATTGACGGGAATGTCTATAGAATTATAACGACAGTAAGGCGAAGGATTAGCACGGAGCGGGTCAAATTGTAGCCAATGCGGGGGCATTAGGCTACGTATCCATAAGCCGCGTAGATCAAAGGTCTTCAAATAGGCTTCAAATGACATACCAACCAACTAACCAACGGTTCGATGCCTCACTGACAAAGACACTCACAAGCACAACAATATCATATGGGAGGGGACAATGGTACGAGGATGGGAAGCAGCACTCAAACATCCGATGCTGCAGCCACACATCTTGAAGGCACAATCGGACAACTCTATCTCTGCCTCGTGACCATGCATCCTTTGTGCCCGTTGATCTGCAAGCTGCGAAGATCGCGAGCCCGCTACAAGTCCGCATCACGGACATCTGCTGTAGATAGCATACCGTTGTTCCAGTCGACAGTGACACTTTCCTCCACGCCCACACTGTCTTCTTGAACTACTATACCAGTGCCTGTATTGCTACACTTTGTTGTGCCGCTGAACCTCCTTTTCCAGCCTCGCAAGTGACCATGCTTTTGCCAAGACATTTGGCGCCAGCGAGTAAGTGACCTTTTCTCCCACACCTTCAAACTTTCTTTCCTTTGACGCCCATAAAATAAATACCATGAGCAGTCATGGGCCAACCACAGCCTCATATCGAGGGCACGCCCATCATGGCCACAGCTCCATGGAGCAGTTGTGATGGCGTTGCAGAGGACGAGTGGGAATACGAGTATGACCCGACTGAGACAGAAGACCTCTATTTCACTCTGGACCTGACCACGCACGTGGCCGACGCGCTGGAACCCAAAGAAGAAGAAGGAGAAGAAGAAGAGAACGACGACGGCAACCACGACACTCATATCAGCGACGCGCAGAACGGAAATGCGGATGCGAATCCAAACGCACAGGTTGCCAAAGATCCACGACCCCCGCCACGCTCACAACTGCAGATTTTAGATCTACACACCACAAACCCTCTGGTCAAACTTGACGAGGGAGTCTACAGCTGTTGCTGGTCCACTGATCTTGGCACTCAATTTCACATTGCTCAAGCTGGTCACATTCCAAATCCACGACGTGCCGGACATGTCTTGGACATCGTTGGACTTTCCCAGGCACGTTTGACAGGGAAACCAGGCTCACTTACAGTCAAGAATGCCACAGGGGAAGGGCAGCATGATGCGACTACTCCTGACCTCGGCAACACGATGGATGATGAGCCTGGAAGTGCAGACGAATCGAACCCCGTCGAGGACACACATGTCCCGCAGTCCTCTCATTACGGGCAGCCTTTAGTGATACCACGAGAAGACTGCAGAACCCCGACAGCCGTACAGCAGGCTTCTTTCCTGGAGCGCTTATCTCAGATCAAGCTCAAAAAAGGCGAGAACGACCCGGTACCGATCTACAGCGTCAAAATCCACAGGGAGCCTGCGAACAAAGCTGAGCTGAAAAGGCAGGCGCTCGATGCTGATGCAGAGAAGAAGAAAATCGCCAAGTCGAGCGAGCGGCCAAGCAAACGCAGGAAGCGTCTGACAGCTGCAGAGAAAGGAATTATTCCTGGCACAACGCCAAAGGCAGGACGGAAGAAACTCAGTGCCATCGCTGCACGGGTCGGTTTTCTTGATGAAGCAACGGATAACACACTTGCAACTCCTCGTCCACGGCGTCAGAGGACCTCGACTGCCAAAGCCGCCGATGCAGCTCAACAGGAAGATCTTGACTTGGAAGATGCGCCAGCCGAACCAACCTGAGCGCAGATAGTTACTGAGGTCACAAATGGACGCCACACTGGAGATGACGTTGTGAAGTGAGGTCAGCGGTATCATACTCAAGCATGAAGCCGGATTTGAACCACGCGCGAAGTTGTTGCTCCAGCCAAGCAACACCCATGCATGTACATCAATAACAACCAAGACTGGCTGCTTAACACTGGGCATGGAAAACTTTCTCCATCCAGGTCGATCACGGCTTCGCGTCGCACCTGCCAAAAGGTCTCACTCTAGGCTCTCTAGAAAATCCTTCCTGATCTGCTACTGCTACGTAAACCCAACTTAATCTTGGCACGAGGACGTTCCAAGATCTGGAAAACGTCGGATCGATCTGCGCAAATTTTGGCAACGTTCGCTAGAGGTACCGATACCGATACTGGATCGGCGTGTCATGCTTCTTCAAGAACGATCCTGTCTATCGCTGCAGCAAATCTACGCTGAGATAGATCTCCCTAGGACGCATCAGCAAACACTTTTTGCCGTGGATATTTCAACACCCCAATCCGCCTTCAGGTAGCCGCCTCAACGACACTGTCATCAAATCTTGAATGTCAACCCAGCTTCGCGTGTTTGTCCCAACGTAAAATGCCTTGCCACCTAGTTTCTGCATCTCGGACGTACACATTGGTCCTATTCTCTTACCATACATGTCTGGCGGGCACATGGAATCAAATCTTCGGGTCGCCTTCGGGACTCAGAGCTGTAGTTGGCTCCAATCTTTTATCTGCTTGCTACACGTGGATCTCGCCACTTTTCGCTCTAGGGTGTATGATGCATTGTTGTTCGGAAGCGGCTTACTCGTACTGTAGCGATGTAAATGAGTAACAACTACATGTTCACTGGTATTCAATCGAGGACGATGGGATCTGCAGAGTGTGGTATGGATGACTGCATTGCTGGGTGTCGCTGCGCCGGACGGAACAACTCTCAGACTGTCTCCATTCAAACCTCCACGGAAGGCAGGAGCCTCGCTTGTGTCTGTATGTAGCGAGGAATGCGCACACGGAGCGTCTGGAAGGATACAGTATCAGAAGTCAAGAAATTTTCAACGCCTGACCACGATTTTGAGCAAGCGATTGCATGAATGTTAATGGATAACTGCTGGAGCGCTGAATGCATAGGTGCGATTTCAAAGTTCGATTCTTTCTGCTCCCCCGTTGGTAGAGAGGACGGAGATCATGCTGCAGACCATGACGTGTAAGACAAGCGAGGTCAGGTACGAGAGTTGGCGGTCGGATGCCGCCAAGTGACTTTACAGGTAGCTGACTTGGAAGAGGCGGGAGGTGAAGATCTACTAGCTGCAGCATGTGAAAGCCGGCAGAATGTCGGCCCTTAGGCGATGACTTCACTAGCAAGCGCAACTTCTAATTCCGAAGCGGCTTCAAACCTCGAACCTCCAAACAAACACATTACAAGCCGCCTCGCAATGGCAAATACCAGCACTGGCAAAGCTCTCGCAACGCCCGAGCTACTCGAGGCCATCCTCATCAATCTACCGATTCGCGACCTGTTCCTCGTCCAACGCGTCTGCCGCTTGTGGCGCGACAGTGTCCTCGTATCGAAACCAATCAAGCGCCAGCTATTCCTCGAACTCTCCGATCCTGAGCGACACAGATTGTATTACGTGCCAACGAATTCCGATCTCTCCGCTATCGATGGCGATCGAGCCAATTTCCTCGACCGAGAACTGTATCATTCGAGCCTTCGGAAAAACTACATCTGGAAACCTGACACCAACTCTCTGTCCAACACCACGATCTACGTAAACCCGATCCTGCATGTGATCAAAGGTCTCATCAAGCGCGACATCAACACTTTCTTCGCCACAGACCCCAACACGCAGCAGACTCCTGTCTGGAACCGACCTGAGGCGTCGTGGCGCCATATGCTGGTCTGCTCAGCGCGCTTGACCACCTCCTTCGGCTTCTCCTGGGGTGGGATGCGATGGTTCAAGCGGGCCATGGTGGACACCGCGCAATGGCGCCTGGGAGATTTTGTGGATGAGTTGCAGAGACAGTGGCAAGTGTTGCCGCGTCGTCGAGGTGGGAGGGTTCCGCGTATTAATTATACGATTACTGGAAGCCAGTTGTGGTGTCGATGCGAATAGGTTGAGTTGAGCGGGTGATGGGCTGAGGGAAAAAGGTGGATGGCGGATGAAGTCTTGCTTCGAGGTTGAAGACATTGTCTAATCCTGCTGCAAGGCGCGATAGGACCTGAAATTGGCAAAGGATGCCAGCCGCATCAGCACGTTACGCACTTGCCGCACTGTCTGGACTTCCCACGGTAGGGCGTAGTGTACGCAGCGGACTCGAGCGCCGAAGCCCCAAAGCTGCATTGAGATCCAACGAAATTTCCAAACCTCTGCATCGATGGACGGGGCAGGCGACATCGGTGCCCAAGTTGGAGCGCCGTGCTGAACTGGCTTGAAAGTCAGCAGTAATGATAGCGAAGGTGTGCTTTGGTCATGTTGACAAATGCTCATATAGCTAATACAATAGCTAGATCAGCGGGAAATCAGCCTTGCATCGACTTCTGCTACTGACTCCATATTGCCACAGCCTGATTATCTACATTAAGCGGGTCGAGCTGCTAAGGTTTCGCTCTCATCGAATCACTTAGAGTACAATAAGCTGGTAAGCTGCAATTTTGAAGCTTTCCACACTTTTAGTGTGAGGACACCTCCAAGTGGGGATTGGCTCTGAGGACATGCTTGAAATGGCGAACGGTCATTTCATATATTAATCACGCTCGATCCTCTCTACTCTCCCTTTCCAAAATACAACGATACAACAAGCAACCATCGACTCAGCAATCAAATCAATCAACATCAAACCGAACCAACAACAACAACAACGACCACTTCCACCCACTATGGCGTATAACAGCAAAATGTCACTCACCACCCTCGTGGTCACCCTCCTCTCCCTCTTATTCGCAAAACCCACCACCGCAGCCAACCAAACCGCCAAATTCCTCTCCATGCGCAACAACAACATCACCAGCTGGAACCAAACCACCGACTTCTCCCTCCTCCGATCCTCCCACGCCCGCCACCTCATCCACGGCGACCGCGGCGACACCGGCTTCCACTACTGCTACACGCACCACTTCCACAACCCCAAAAAGCACCCCACCCGCATCGACACCCTAAACATCGACCACATCAGCGGCAAAATCTCCAAAATCTACAAAGGCACCACCCTCGGCTTCGAATTCAAAATCACGCCTTCCGAAGACATTCTCGAAGGCACCCAACTCTGGCCCGACTTCAAACCCTGGGTCATGGATTCTTCGGATTTCGACAAACCCCCCACGGGAGCTTCGGCGGATGCGATTGACGTGTGTTCGCTCGTCGATTGTCCGGTCCCCGCTGGCCAGCAGATGCATTTCACCGCGAAAGTCTTGATTCCGAATAGCATTCGGACGACGACCGGCAGGATGATTTTTGGGAGTAAGTTGCGATTTCAACTGGTGGCGCCCGTGACGGATGTGCAGGATGGGCATGATCGGTATCCGTTTGATGTGCTGCAGTGTGTTACGCATCATATGAAGGTGGATGATATGAGGGTTGAGACGCCTTGTGAGGTTTTTTGCGCGTGAGAGTTTACCATTCGAATGGCAATGTCAATAGACGAGAGGATGGGAATTGGAGAATGTGGAGTTTTACGGCGTTTGGCTATTTGAGTGCGAATCAAAAATTGAAAAGAAAAAAGAAAGAAATCCGTCGAAATTGTCATGTGCTTCTCCTTTTTTTACTCTTGACAGTGGCGTGCTGAGGCACTTTGTGAGCTTCGTTAGCAGATTTCAAGCAGCATCTGTAGGCTGAGGCATGGCTTACCGTCTTGTGGAAGGTATGATTAAAGAAAGATAGGTCAAACATAGCTAAATTTTCAGGCTACCGCGGAAAGATGTAGTATACTCGGAAGCCGGTACGTGTCTTCGAGCACCGAGTATCCAGAGACTAATGCCTTCCCATAGCCTGCTTGCGATATCCACCATCTAGCTTGGGGCGAACTTGTATCGGAAGGACACGAGGAAACTCCAAAGGACTGCTGCAGATTCACCATTCGCGTCGCGTCGAGGGTTGCTCCTGAGATTCCAGAGTCAGGCTGTGCCAGGATGCAAATACTCTATCATGCAAGTTGATCCGTAATGTGCCCAATCATGCTCACCCACACTCATCACTTGTTGGGGTGGCTCAGTATGATATACAAGCTGCTGCGGTCATAGCAGTCTCCTGTGCTCCTCAGAGATTGGCCGCAGCTGCTGCAATTTGCCCGTGGCTTGGAACTTTTCAGCGTGCACAAGTATGCATTTCCCACGTGCGTCCGGTAACTACTGATATGTAGGCAAGGTGATGGATTCCGTGTTTTGCTTTCGAAAATTCGACGACCTTTCACAAACCCACAGCAGACTCGGTATCGAGAGTGGCTGTGCTTGTTCCACGACAGAGCGAAGCTCATAGCAGGGTTGCTCAATGCAAAACTAGCGGATTCTGGTTGGCGAGATATCTGTGGTTTCAACTCATATCTCTCCTCTTTTTTTGACTCGTTTGCAAGGTATGAAAGCCAATCCACGTTGTACAGAGCCGTTTTCGAATCCTGTCCAAGTAGTCAGAAAGGTACATTGCTTCAGTCGATGAAAACCATCCTTCAACGATCGATATATAGAGCGCTTGGCAATGGTCCAATTGCAGTGACGTGTCTCATCGCATTGTAAACTCGAATTGCACAGAGTCGAAATGAATGCGACCACACCGAGAAGGAAACCCTCGTGTCGATCGATCATACACAATCGGTGAAGGCTCCTGTCTTAATCCCAGAATCCTGGGAGCCTGTAGTTTGTTTGCGCATACCTGCAGCGTGTGACATCGTCAGAGTGATTCCAGCGCAGTGTCGAACTGCGCATTCGCAAGCCAGCAGTGGCTATTCACCAAGTTTGTGCGAGATGCTTCCTCCCACTGCGCTCAGTACCTGTCATCGAGTGCGCGCGCCTGTGCAATCCTGCTAGGATCCCAGGCTGCACTGCTGGGGTGAGACGAGATGCGTTATATAACGCTATTATCCAGGGATTGTTGGCGGAGAGTAATGTTGGGGCGTAACAAAACGGTCTTCCCGTTGTGGAATCTGTGAATGTTTCCGCCCAAAGGCCCGTGAGAAAGCAGCGCAATGCCAGCGAATATTGATTGCCGAGGAATTTGAGGGGCGGAGAGGTCGTACTGCAGACTGGCAGCCAATGTACGCCAGGTCGCGAGTCCTGTCTAACACATCTTTGCGCAAAGCGTAACATGCTATACTTTTCGTCATTGCTCGGCCACTGCTTTGCACAAGACGTTGTCGCCATGGAAAGGCAGCCTTCATGCCGGAATGTCGAAAGTCTTAAGAAGCAGGCTCAGCGCCTCAACATGAAACATTTTCTCTCCAGCAGCAGATGTGTCAACCAGCAGATCACGAGACATTGGTTACACCCGAGGAGGATGAGTGGGACCAGACATTCCTAGATGATCTGCAGCTCACTGAGAACGTGTTTTCGGATGATGATTTCGACATTGTAAGGCATTTGCTGAGCCCAAGTTTCGATGATGATATGCTGACCAAGGTTGAAAAAGGAGTCGGCATGGTCTCGTTTCGTTTCGTCTTGTCGGGCTTCTGCGGGAGTCTTCGATGCAGGCTTCTGGGACCAGATGCAGACTTCCCTACCTGAGGGCAACGAGTTTGAGGGAAATGGAACTGCTAGCATATCCTGTGGCGAGTCCCACGAGCCGATTCCAATGGCAAGCGATCCAGAAGATAGCCAGTGGCAGGTAGCATCGGCGGTCCAAGCAGAGCAATCCTCATCCAGCAAAGCTCCGACGACTCTTTCCTCGACCAGAGGAAGTCCGGCATCGCCGCAGTCTTCAAAACCACCTCGACGTCGCCACCGGCACAAGAAGCACCCATGCGAAATTCCAGATTGCGCTCGTTCATTCTGCTTCCAGAAGGACTTGGATCGACATCGGCGCGTACACGATGGATTGCGGCCATGGAAGTGCCATGCCGTGGGTTGTTCGAAAAGTCATCGGGGGTATAAGCGCAGAGATGCGTTGCTAAGGCATGTGCGAGCCAAGCATGAAGATGTACAGCCGTTGAAGCGGTCCACGTAATGGGTAATCGATAGATAGCGCGTCCCTCATTTTATCGTCCAGTACCTACTCGTCTTCGATAGAGTATTAATTAGTCTATCATGGTGATATCCCGAACGTATTAAGAAGAGATGAGCTCCTTGACTCCAATTTGTTGTGAGAACTTGCCTTTCAGCCTTGCAGGAAAGTTGTCTGGAGTTCTGAAGTTTTCGCGAATAGTAGATTCCTGTCATAACGTCATCAGCAGGAACGATGTCGGGAACCGAAAGGAAAGGGTGATGAAGAGGTCAAATGTGTTCATTAGAGCATCAACGACAATGTCTTAGGTGTGCCACCAACGCCGTGCTTCCAACAGATACCATGTCCAGAACCGTGCTGTCGTCCATGCAGAAATACGAGTCATCCGGTCGCCCACATATCATTTAGCCGCGCAGAGTATCGTCAAGGTTGCCTTTCCGTCGCTTGAGAGGCGAGAATTGGAAGCCGCTTCCATCTTGCGCGGTCATGAGAAGCGAGGATCCTATCTTGCTAGCGCCTAGGAAACCTCCTGCCTTCTTTGCTCCCGGAGCTAGCCCACCAAAGCCTCGTCCACCAAGAAGGGTTCTGCCAGGAAGTGCCTTTGCAGGAGCTTCATCCTCTTCGTCGAAGAGCGTCTTGCCTGTTCCGCCGAGCTTGCGATTCTTCTTGCTTTGAACCTTCTTTGCTTCTTCTGGCTTGTTGAACGTAGCAAAGTCGACAAGCGACTTGCGCTTCTTCTGCTTCTTGGCCTTCTCGGCATCGACAGGTCCGTCCGCAGTCTTAGTCCTGAGCTTCTGGCCCGCGGGCTTGACTGCAGGTGCGTTCTCCTGGCCTTGCGAATGGACATCTTCCTCTTCTGTGATCAGCTCCAATTGAGGCATGACTGCCTTCTGTTTCCGCTGTCGTGGGGCTGGCTTAGGCTTCTGCGCGTTTGCATCGGCCGTGGCAAGGGGCTGTTTCTTCTGCTTGGTTGCTACGGCCTTCTCCACAATTGGCGACTCTGCTGGGGCCTCTATCTCAATCGACTCGATGGGCTTGTCAGGATCGTGCTCGTTGTCGCTGTCTTCTGGCAGTATGCTCGCAGTCTTGTTAAGGAACGGCGTCATGCTGAAAGTAGACTTCTCCCCGACGTTTGCAGTAGCCTTGCGTCCACGCTTAGCAGCAGGCCCGTCTCCGGGCGTTCCAATGTTCGTCGCATCAGCGTCGAAATGTGCAGCAGATCGCTTCTTGGCATTCGCTGCAGTCTTTACACCTTTCTTGGCTGGCTGTGCCTCAGCTTCCTCCTGTGCGGCTGCAAGGTCGGCTTCGGTCTGCTTGAGCTTCTCTTTTGTTGTTCGCAGTTTCATTCGAAACTGGTTGAGCTTCTCTTCGAGCGTGGCTTTCTGGGACTCAAAATCGGAAGACTGCTTCTCTGACTGCTTCTCGACCTTCGCCCGCTCCTTCCTTTCGGCCGCCAATTCTTGTCGAAGCTCGTCCAACAGCTCATCTGCTTCGGAATTTGCGGAAGTCTGCTTTGCTGCTTTAGCGACCCGCTTCTTCTCCTTCTCCAGCTCTTCTTGCAGTTCCTCGATCCGCTCTTCAAGCTTCGCCTTTGCCTTCTTCTCCTTAAGAAGATCTCTCCGCACATCTTCTACCTGCGTGTTCTCCTGTGCTGCCTCGAGTTCCTCTTCGGCTTTCTGACGCGCCCGCTTCTCCCTCGCGAGCTCCTTTCGCACCTCGTCGACGTCAACATCCATCTGCGTAACATTGGCGGCTTCCTCCGCTCGAAGTCGCGCTCTCTTCTCCTTAGCGAGATCACGCTTTAGCTGGTCGACCTGCTCTTCTTGTGCGATCTCAACACCAGTGTTTCTCCGCTTCGCCATTGCGCGCTTCACGTCGCGCTTGGCGTTTTCCAGTTCGCATTGCACATTGGTGAGTTGTCGCTGGAGATCCAGCTTCTCAGTCATCAGAGTTTCCGTGCTTGCGGCTTGTTGTTTGAGGTGCTCCAGCTGTGGCCGCAGAAGTGACAATTCGCGCGTCAAAGCAAGCTTTTCGGTCAGAATAGTCTCCGAGTCTGCTGCAGAAGTGGCAAGAGCCTTCTTCTCGGCCTCCAACGCGCCGACTTCGTGCTCCCTCGATCTCAATTGCAGTTCAAGATCTGATAGTCGTGCTTCGGCATCGTCGGCACGCGTCAAGTTCTCGTTCAAAATGCGCTCGAAATGCTCGGATCGCGACTCTTCTTGAGCAAGCAGGTCTCTGAGCTCGTCTATATCGTCCGCCTGAACATGCAATTCGAATCGCAGTTTTCGTATATCTTCGTCTTTGCTGATAATGTCGACTAGGTGGCTGCTGCGCTCATATTTGAGCTCTGCCGCCGCAGTGTTTAGTGAGAGATCGTATATGGGCGCCATGTTAGCTGCTTGTGCGCGCAATGCAGGCATAGAATGCGCTGTAATCTGTGCTCGATGCAGTCGATGCAGTTACTTTGGTTGTCGTGATGGAGCCAGTGTTTGTTTACATCTGCAGGTGGAGCAGCAACAAGGTTCCTTGGCGCCCGCAGATCCCGCAGAGCCTCATCATACATTTTTCCACAGCCGAGCTAGCAGTTCGCCTTCGATTCTACGATCATGGATTCAAGATGGTAAGGCCTTTTCCTCTATGACAAGACCACATACTGATAAATTACCTAGAAAATCAAAGCACTCACTCGCTCGACGAGTTCCGTCCAAACGCCGGGCAGCGATGTGGCTCGACAGCCTCGCAATCTCGATCCCGCTCTGCATCCATTTGCGCAGCAGCGGGAGTATACCAGAGCACTAAATGCGACCAAGATGGAGCGCATGTTTGCGCAGCCATTTGTTGCTCAGCTTGGAAGGGGTCATGTTGACGGAGTGTATACCATGACCAAGGATCCAAAGTCTCTAGAACGATTCGCAAGTGGCAGTGGTGATGGAGTAGTAAAGGTCTGGGACTTGCCGACAAGAGATGAGATCTGGCAGACGCAGGCGCATGAAAATTTGATCAAAGGTACAAGCTGGACCAAGGACAGGAAGCTACTGAGCTGTGGCACTGATCGAACAGTCAAGATGTGGGATCCATACAACACAGTTGCCGGCGTGAAGGAGCCAGAGCAGAGTTGGCTTGGTGCGACATCTTTTTCTGCTCTTTCAACCCATCGACAAGAGACATCCTTCGCAGTTGCTGCATCATCTGAGATTCATGTCTACGACTATTCGCGAGGGCCACAAGAACCTTTGAAGCTCAGCTTGACCGGATCTGTAGACACGATCAGTGCTCTGGCTTTCAATCAATCAGAGACCTCGATACTTGCCTCATGTGCAAATGACCATTTCTTGCGATTTTGGGACCTACGGACACACCAAGCTACCACCGGGGCGAGACTTACTTTGGCAGGCAATACAGTTGCATGGAATCCCATCGAGCCGATGAATATTGCCGTTGGATGTGAAGACCATGATATTCACATATTCGATATGCGCAATTTGAAGCGCTCACTCAACACGCTGAAGGACCACGTAGCTGCTGTGATGTGTGTAGATTGGTCGCCGACCGGACAAGAGCTGGTCTCAGCCTCATACGATCGCACTGTACGTTTATGGAATGCCTGGAAGTCTGGACGAAGCAGAGATCCATACCATACGAAGCGCATGCAACGTGTCTTCTCTTGCGTGTGGACTGGCGACAACACATACGTCCTCTCTGGCTCTGATGATGGTAATATCCGGATTTGGCGATCGAACGCTTCCGATCGAAGCGGCATCAAATCTGCACGAGAGCGACAGAGTCTGGAATACAACAAGGCTTTGAAGGAGAGATGGAAGCACATGCCAGAAATCAGGCGTATCGATAGGCATAGACACGTGCCCAAGGTGGTGAAGAAAGCAAATGAGATCAAGGGAGAGGAGCTCAAGTCGCTGAAGCGGCGGGAGGAAAATAGGAGAAAGCATACGAGAGAAGGTCAGAAGAAGAGAAGAAGCGAACGAGAAAAGATGGTCATGGAGGTCGAGCAATAGCTTTCCTCGCTCGGATTTTCGTGGCGGCACAGCGAAGGCGTTTGTGATAGCATTTCTCGGGCGTTTGGTTTGAAGGTCAAAAAGATACCATGGGAAGTGCGGCATTTGTGGAGTTGTCGAAATATCTCACGAAGAGCGACGAAGAAGCAATGTAGCAATCAAGACATGTATTGTCGCCTCCAGGCTGCTTTTACAGCTGCCATGTCGTTCCTGCTCTCCGCCATGAGTTTCGCCAAGACCTCATCCCAGCCCCTCTATATAAGCAGATTTCCCTTTTCGCAACGATAGAATATGCGGCGGATGTCTACACTTTTGCTAGTCTCATAGGGCTTTTACAAGTATTTCATTACAGGCCCATACATCTTTGAGACCTCCGAAGTCAGGCCTCACCGGCATCAAGCCCATGGCACCTCCAATCCCAGCTCAGAACATGCCCGGTCTCATAGCACTTGTCATCTACACCATCCTCCCCATCACCTATTGGACAACAGAATATCACGCAGCGCGAGCGTACACACCTTCGTACAGCTGCCGGAACGATTTCACGAGCAATCTCGGAATCCCACACGCTCGCATCGACAAATTCACAAATCAACGCATCTTCTCAGCCAGAGCACATCTCATGAACATGAATTTCATCTTCAACGTCCTACATTTCTTGCTGGCAGGAATCTGCTTCGCTACTGCTACACACAAGACTTTCAACCCTAGATTCAAAGTAGCCCGAATCATCGTCGCGGGACTGTACTGCGTTGGAATCATCCTTGTCGCCGCAGTACCTGATGGGCCGAAAGAGAGACAGAACGGTACCTCGATCTGGCATCTTCTTGGAGCACTATTGGCTATTGCTGGAGGGAATGTCAATTCTTTGGTGACTGGAATGGCGGCTCCGGCGAATAGGATGGTCTACAAATGCACCTGTCTGCTAGCGATACCGAAGCACCTATACCGTTATACGATATACGAAGTCCGCCTCATCTCCCATACCATCTATTTGTGCGTAGTTATGCAAGCCTCGGCAACGTCTAGCCGATTTGCTTGCAGACGTGACTGGACGCCACAACCACTATAGCGTGAAGCCGCGATCGGCTTTACTGTGCCGATAGCTCCTCCAACTTGTGCACGCACGGTAGGCACTGCCGACCGACAGCAAAGAGGTAGGAATCAACGGTGTACATAGTTCAAGCCATGAGTTCCACCTGGGAAATGTTTTACGTCCACGTCGCTCCCCCGTTCGAATATGCACCCTCGACACGATCATCTGGAGCATTCTCAACAAACAGTACTGGAGTTCGTAGACGGAGTATCCGTTCCAGGCCGGCTAATTGAGAGGAAGAGCTCTCATACCTCGAGAAGGTGCACGACTCAGACCCAGAACGACACTGCCACAGGACTTGAACGAGTCAACAGACAAGTGTTATAGACAACAAAGCAGCTGAAGCTGAAGACGAAGACGAAGTCTGAGGAGCACAGAAACTCGATCTTAGCATCGAACTGCAGCAAGACAGCTACCTCATTCATCCATTCCTTCATCATGTCCGAAAAAGAAAACTTCCAACAACGCCCCTCCACCGGCAAAGATCTCGAAGCTCAGAATGACGACTCTAGCCATAACGATGATTCCAAAAATCCCTCCTCGGATTCCCAAAAACCTCAATTCAAATCCACCGACGCCCGCCAACACCAAACTTCCTCCGACCCCAACATCGTAGACTGGGAAGGACCCTCCGACCCCCAAAACCCTCGAAACTGGCCCACGAAATCCAAAATTTACAACACATCCCTCGTAATCGTCCTCTGCCTCCTCACCCCGCTAGCCTCAAGCATGTTCGCCCCGGGCGTTCCCCAAGTGCTTCAAGACTTTGGATCCTCAGGAACAGCCACGATCGCCGAACTCGTAGTTTCCATCTACATTCTAGGATTCGCAGTCGGACCACTCATAATCAGTCCTCTATCGGAAATCTACGGCCGGTATCCGGTATACGTGGTCTGCAACATTTTCTTCCTGATATTCACAATCGCCTGCGCGGTCTCTTCTTCGATCAGCCAGTTAATCGTATTTCGCTTCTTCGCGGGGTGTTTTGGAGTTTGTCCTGTTACATTAGGCGGGGCTTCGATTTCGGATCTCATTCCGCAAGAGAAAAGAGGTGCGTCGATGGCACTTTTCGGAATGGGACCGCTCTTGGGACCTGTGATTGGACCTGTTGCCGGCGCATACTTGGCCGCGGCTGAGGGTTGGAGATGGACGTTTTGGGTGATTGCGATTGCGTATGGAGTCTTCACGATTTTGCATGCGGCGTTGTGTAAGGAGACGTATTCTGTTGTCTTGCTGGCGAGGAAGACGAGGAAGATGCAGAAAGAGACGGGGAATTTCGATTTGAGGTCTGCGCAGGATGATGGGCTGACGGAGAAGGTCCGGATTCAGAGGGCTGCGGTTCGGCCTTTTAAGATGTTGCTGCGAAGTCCGATTGTGGGGTTGATGGCGGTTTATGCGGCGTTTGTTTATGGGGTGTTGTATCTGTTGTACACGACTTTTACGTTTGTGTTTGAGGAGTATTATGGTTTCAGCTCGAGTAATGTTGGGTTGACGTATCTGGGGTCGGGGATTGGGATGTTTCTTGGGCTGTTCCTGATCGGTGCCGCAAGCGACAAATTGTTGAAGAGTAAGGCGGCGAAACATGATGGGGAGTTGAAGCCGGAGTACAGGTTGTTGCCCTTGATGTACACGGCTTGGTTGATCCCGGTCGGCTTGTTTATCTATGGTTGGACGGTGCAGTATCGGGAGCAGTGGGCGATACCTCTGTTTGGCACGCTTCTGTTTGGTGTTGGGATCATTGCGGCTTTGATCTGCATTCAGGTGAGTGGACTGTCCTTATATTTCATGCTGGAGGAGCATGGTTGAGTGCTAACATTCGTACCAGCAATACCTCATCGATGCTTACACACTATACGCTGCTTCCGCTGTTGCAGCCAACACGGTTCTTCGCTCTATTGTGGGAGGACTGCTCCCACTGGCTGGGTTGTCCATGTATGAGAAATTGGGATTGGGCTGGGGAAATAGTCTGATCGCCTTCATCGCGCTGGCCCTCACTCCGGTGCCGTTCGTGTTCTATATATGGGGTGAGCGAATACGTAAGAGCGGGCCAGTGAGTCTGTAGCAAAGACTTTAGATACAGCATCGAGCATTGTGAGCCCCAATGTTATTCACGTGTCTAAGCTCCCCAATCACAGAAAGAAGTTCGAGCCGCATCGAAATGTCTCGATCTTACGAGCGTGTCCACGCCACTATGGCTTTCTCTCAGCGGGTTCAGCATGGTCCCGGTCCCCTACTTGCTGAGGCATCGACTGCGTTATGAGAGGGCTGGAGAGAATTTCGCAACCGACATATTGGGTATGCCGACCAGCAGTCAGATGAGCACTTCATATGAAAGATCTTTGTCGCGACGTGCCTCCCGGAATGGTGATGGGATGAGTCGATGTCGAATGTGAAGATGGTGTGCGAATGAGGAGAGCCAATGTGGAGGTTGACGTGCAGTCCACGAAGGGCAGGGATGATTGCTTGGCAATGGTGCTTGGCAGTGGTGATGCTGGCTCATACTACTCTCTTCTCTCAGTCGCATACCGCATTGCGGCACAATTTCGACTGATAGCAGCGCCGCATCCGTCACATCTACGATCCCACGCCTGCGAATGCTGGGCATTTCTTGGAACATCGGTTATATACGCACGCCGCGCGATCTCTGGATCGCCAACGGAAAACACGGCCCGATACTACAGCGCCATCGTTCGCCTCGAGCTTGTCCGTACGGATCAGAGCAGCACATGTCTTCAGCCAAAAGAGTCAGTAGCAATGCTGTTGGGAAAAGCTGGGACAGAAGCAAGTTGCGCTACCCGAGTCGACTGAGCGAATTCTTCCCGCCAGCCTTCTAGTCACCATGAGCCTCTGCGCTTAGATCGACTTGTCGAGCCGTCCAGACACAACAGACCACGTCGATGGTCGAGGCTGAAAGGTGGATCGGCCAGTGACGACTCCACTGGGCCTCAAAAGCAACTCGATTGCAACCTCCAACGAAGCCTTTCATGCAACTGTGGGATGGCTCATTGCCGAAACAGGAAGGTCCTGCTATAGGCGAAGAATCGAAAGGCCCACAATCTTTGCCAAGTCGTAATATATCTCTAGAACTCGGGAGGACCCGTTCCACGCATGCGTGTGATCGACTCTAGACAGCGACATGTGTGTGGTGTGGAGACCGTAACGAGACTCCGAGCCGCAATGTCTGCTCAACTGAGCGCAATTGGTTGTCAGTCTCGACTGGGGACGCTCGGAACGGCGAGGCTCGGGCGTGAATAGTGGAAAGGCTGAGGCTGAGTGGCCTTGCTACGAACCCCACTGACTGGTGCAGTATCATCTATAAATGCTCATGCGAAGCAGACGATGTTTCTTCTCATCGCGAAATTGCGTTGATTCAGGCATCATGAGGCTGTCTCTAGCTATTCTCTTTCCCTTCGTTACCATTGTCGCATCACAGCGATATGTTCGCTGCGGAACCCCGAAGCCTGTCCAATCGCTGCTGGATCAACTCGATGTTACGTCCGCAAACACTAGAGTCAATCCAAATGTGGCCACCTATGTTCACGTCGTTACCACTCAGGCGAAGCAGGGCCTGTACAGCCAGGCACAGATAAATGAACAAATCCGGGTTATGAATAGCGACTACAGTTCGACTGGCATCTCGTTTACGCTCAAAGGAACGGACTTCACAGTCAATGATGCTTGGGCTACTTCTTCAGAGTAAGTCTAATAGAAGGCTGCCAACATATCGCCAAGGGTGCTTCTATAAGATCTGAGCTGACCTCGTTCGTCATCCACAGTGGGTCCGCTGCCGAGACGGCCATGAAGCAAGCCCTTCGTAAGGGCACATACTCCACACTGAACCTTTACTTCCTGTCAGATCTTGGAGACGGCCTTCTCGGCTTCTGCTACTTTCCCGTCCCCAACCCAACAGCAAACGACCGTACCTTGGACGGCTGTGTGAACCTTGCCGACTCCTTACCCGGTGGCAGTGCGGCTCCATACAACCTCGGAAAAACAGCTTCTCACGAGGCCGGGCATTGGTTTGGGCTTTACCATGTGTTCCAGACCACATTGCCTGTCTCCATCCCTCAAGTACCATGCGCGGCAGTAGGAGCCGGCGACTATGTGTCCGATACGCCGGCGCAAATCACGCCCACTTCTGGATGTCCAGCTTCCAAGGACTCTTGTCCGAGACTTCCTGGTCTGGATTCAATCCATAACTACATGGACTATTCGGATGATATTTGCTTGAATCAGTTCACTCCGGGACAGGGTTCCAGAGCTAGAGCAATCTTCCAGGCACTCAGAGCTGGCAAGTAGACAGAGGTTAAGGGGAAATGAGGATTAGGCATACCAGTATAGTGAATTTAGTCAAACTTCTGCACTCTTCCTCTTCTTCTCCTTCCTGTTGTGCTTTTTTCCAGCGTCTCAGCTTCGCAACTATAGTGGGGAACTCGAACTACAACCACCAAGTCCCGATCACGATCACAGTCAAAGGAAGCGTGAGAGCCATATACAGCCACAACTTGGCATTATCCAGCATACGCATCCCCAACACCGACGACAGAAAAGTTCCATTTAGGAAAAGCATCGTCAAAGCCGCAAGCACCTTCATCGAAGCTCCATCGGCGCGAGCTTCCATTGAAATAGTCGTGCTGGTGGCGCTGTTCTGCTGCATCACAAGATTGTACACGAGATTCATCGCAGTGTCCTTGCGAACTTTATAGCTCTGTAACCACCGCTTCTGCGCATCGATCGATGGTGCGAGATATCTTAGGCTGTCATTCGTCTTCGTAATCGCATTGCGCATGGATAAACCGAAGAGACGGTTTCTTAGTTCCGGTTGTGAGCTTCGATGAGGCGATGGACGATCATACTCGCCATGTCGGCGCTCGCGGTCATGGATTCGACTTCCTACGACACGACGTTGAGTTGGATTGTGTTGATTTTTTTGTAAATTTTCTAGGTCCTGTTTTGCTCGTTTGTGAGATTTGGATTCGAAAGAATTTCGAAAATTTTTGCTCGTTTTGAGTAGAATAACTTGTCGTCGAGACCAAAGACCGGAAGACTGTCCGCTGCTTTCGAAGATATCACAGCTGCTACAGATGTCCGCGAAGTTGGCGGGATTGTCCAAAATTCCTTGATAGTAGCGAATATCGTGCAGAGACCCGACTAGAGCGGTTATTATAACTGCTTGGGGTAGCGCGGCTTTGATGTCTCCGTTCGTTTGACTGGTTTCCATGCTGTAGCCCGTCTCTTCTCGGAGCCTTTACGATAAGAGACATTTTCCACCTTCTCTACAGATACTTCTGTGGCGCCTTTCGCCATAGCTTGAAGGGGGAAATAGTGATAGAAAAGTGCTGTCAGGCAATTCGAAAAGATTCACTAAGAAGCAGTGTTGGAGCTACCACAACATACTTGCGTGCAGTACTTGGGCGCTGACTTTACTGTAAGCGCTCGTGCCATGGGCGGCCTCTTCCATCATCTGAGGCTTGGCAGTATCTTTAGCCTGGGCGCGAGAACTGACTTGGCGCAATGGTGGAGGAGGAAGACGGCGTCGTTGTGAAGTCGTCTCGAGCTTGGCCAGGATCGTGGCTTGGCAGTGCTTATGTCAGCCTGGCCTCTTTCTGCTGCACCACAACATTCTCCAAGAGCCAATGATAGGTTATTACACCTGAGAATGACTGCGCCAGCTTCATTGTACGCAGAACGTGCTACATCCATCATCTTCGCCACCACGACTCACGGGCATCGGTCGCACGAAACGCGGAGCAACAATGTACGGATTGCTGTCCTGAAGCACAGAAGCACAGGAACGCAGGCCGCCGGCAGACATGTGTCAAGTGCTGGAGAGAATCATGGAATGGCCGAATATTGAGCGATGGATGTGAAAATGCATCAAATTGGCGAGGTCGAGAAGAGATGGAAGCAATACATTGCTTCACTCGGAGTATTGTTCTATGCATTGACGTGACCGGGATACAATAACGCACGAGTAAGGCCAGTAATGAACGGCATGTTCGTATAACACAAGACGCTCTCTAGGAGATAAACCTGCTCACGTTGAGCAGAGTATGCTGTAGCGACAATCTGTCCAACCTTTTTCTACGTCTATATTCAACTCGGACACGGGGATACGTGCCTGTGAGCAGATTGTGTTGTTCCACTGAGGCTCAGCAGGACATCACGATACACAGCAAGCAAACACCCTCACGATGAGAACTCTCTTATATGAAGCGAGAAAGGTGCGAGTCGAGAATCGGCAACTATCGCTTTCCAACCATCTACACGATGAATCTCACGCTCGTTACGTTATTCACGCTCATCAGCGTAGCATTCTGTCGTAATTACACTAGATGCGGCACGCGTACACCACCTCAATGGCACCTAAAGCAGCTGAAGGTTGTGGACAGCGAGACAAATTCCCGCCTTGAACCTATCGAAATCACGACCTACGTTCACGTTGTTACTACCCCATCGAAAAAGACGTCTGTTACGCCAGAGATGATAGTCACCCAGATGCAGATCATGAACGATGCTTACAGCCAAATTGGAATCTCCTTCACGCTTGGAGATTTCGATCTCACAGTTAACAAACAATGGGCGTCGGCCACACTGTGAGTCTCATCGCTTGCTACATCGAGCAGTAGCCCTGTGCCTCACTCACGCATTTCTCGTTCGTTCTATTCGCTGTCATTCTGACTTTCCGTCTAGTCGATCCACTCCCATGCGAAACATGAAACGCTCACTGCGAAAAGGCACATACTCCTCCCTCAATCTCTACTTCATGTCAGACCTAAAGGACGAAGATGGAATCCCGGATCTGCTCGGCCAATGCGGCTTCCCTCATGTCGATGCCACTGCCTCAATTTTCACCCTCGACGGCTGTGTCATCTTGGCGGATACGCTTCCAGGAGGAAACAAAACGGCATACAATCACGGCCTTACGGCCGTGCACGAGATTGGACACTGGTTCGGCCTCTTTCACGTGTTTCAAATGGACTCACACTTCATGAGCCGGCCTTTGCTTCCTTGTACTGGCGTGGGAGATGGAGATCTGGTGGATGACACTCCGCCTCAATCGACGGCGACGAGGGGATGTCCTGCGGAGAACACGAAGGACTCTTGTCCGAATTTACCGGGATATGATTCTATTCATAACTTTATGGACTACTCTTCTGATGCTTGCATGAATGAGTTCACGCCAGGACAAGGTGATCGAGCTCGAGCTAAGTATAGGGAGATGAGGCTTGGGAAGTAGATCGCAGTTTTTGCGCGACATTCCACTTCGATTTGAGATACTAAATGAGGCAATGGTGGCAATAAAAGACCTGGGCAGTGCTCTCAAGGAGCCGAAGTCTCGATCTCATCGGTAACAGGACAATGATGTCTCTATTCAGAATTGGTTTCTATAATCTATACATCTATGGTAGCCTTTTGGCCAAATTCTGCCAACGCCCGCATTGGTCCATATCCGCACCAAGCGTGGTACTCCTCTTCCGAATGACACATCACAATCCCAATCATAGCAGCAGCAATTGCAAGAAATCTTGACGCCATTCTCGTCCTCAAACCAGCCTTTACTTCGAGATATCACCATAATCTCCTCCACCGTCAAAACAACATTATGCGCCTGTTCCCTATCCATCCCCAATGCCTCCCGGCACTCATTATACCTTACCAAAACCTCCCTCCCAGACCCACAACCCTCAATCCCCCGTCCCGCAGCTCGAAACGGCAACTTATTCTCCCCAGGAACCCCTTCCCACACGGAAGCACTTGCATAGGTTTATGCCCAACACTACTCCCGGCTTGCACCCCACAATTAAAAATCCCAAAATACTGCTTCCCGCCACCATCAAGTCTGTGCAGAACTTTCCAGATCGCATCAAAATCTTGCGAATTCAGAGCTTCGCTTTAGAGGTGGAAGGTTAATGTCGGGAGAACGGAATTGTGGTCTTACGATACAGAATTTATTGAGGATTAATTTGTGGGTTGAGTTTATGAGGCCTAGATTCCAGTCGCCATCACTTTCTGGGAATGCTGATCCAGTTTTTTTTGGTGCTTTTTGTTCGGTGTCGATGGAGGAGTTCGGAGATGTAGGATTTGAACTGTGAGATGGGGATCAGAAGGGGTTTTTTGCATGTCTATTGTCTTTTGTATTGCTTACGTTGAAAGGTGAAGTTTCGAAGTGGAGAGGCTGGACTTCTTTCTAGAATAGTTCGCCGCTGGATACCAGGCGGTCGAATTGTTGTAGTGCTTTCCTGGCTAGATCTGAATCTTCTGTAGGGATTTCTGAACCAGTCATTATGGGTGCTGATACTTGAAGAATTGGCGTCGAGGTGGTAATGTCAAGGAAGGAGGAGGAGGAGGAGGAGGGTGAAAAATGGAACCTGCTAGGTGAAGTCGTATCAGGCGGAATTGCTTCGGGCAGGATTGAACGTCGATGAATGAAATTATTGATTGAAGCACTCTTTCACAGTACATCTGGGCTATGCAAATGGCAGCCAGCATGACCTGATGCGCCAAGGTTATGTGGTAGGTAAAGACCGAACAGCAGTAAGTCAACCGCCAAAAACAAGGACAAAATCGCTCATCTTTACATCCAAAACATCGTGTCATCCAGAGCCGCCTTCCACGGATTGCCATCCTTCCGACCACCTTCCTCCCACACACGCTTGACCTCATTCAACACATCCTCCTCCTCGTCATACGTACCCTCTCCATCATACAGATGGCGCAAATACTGTTTGACCCGCTCGCATAGATGATCGGCATAGTACGCTGGCGGTGCATATGAGACAGCAGTCGTTGATCGGGCATAGGTATAACACAACATGTTCGTAAAGTTGTGGATCTGCTCAGCCGAAAACCCCATCTCGTTGCGAAGAACAATGTAGTGAGCCGGACGACCGGTACCTTGGATGGAGTTCTGTGAAAGAAGGTAGAAGTCGAAGTGATATGGCATTGTGATGCCACTGTCGACAATCGTGCCTGGCATGCAGTTGCCGTTATGAATCTTCGGTGTTTTCTCCATTGGATAGATGCGAGTGTTGTGCCGCTTGGTGACAACAACCATGGTAATCTTCACCTCGCTGTTGGCTTGGTCAGTGTTCTTCGACGCATCGTTCCAAGCTCGACGAATATCCTCCATCTCTTCATCGATCAAGCGACGGAATTTCCCCTCGTCTACACCGTCGCGGTAGTAGAGAATGTTTGTTGGGAGCTTGCCAGAATTTTTGCCCTTGTAAGCTTCGATATGCTCCAATGCCATGTCTTTCATGCCAAGGATGATTTCCTCGCGACCTGGTTGGTATCGTGCAGAGCCTCTGTAAGTGATCATATCACTGTCGAAACTCGCCACCACGGCGGCGATTGATGGTGTGCCTGTATGACTTCTGCCACCTGGATGAACAACGTCGGCGCCGAGAGTCATGACACTCTCGCTTTGTCCGTTCGGTAGCTGGCCGGTCAAGCCTTTGACAAGGTGATTGCTATGACCCAAGCGGACGTTCAGCTTCATGGCCACATTCCGAATATACCCTGCGAATGGATGTCGGTCGGTAACATCCTCGGGAGAATTTGCGTCCTTGAAACAAGCGATAGCTTTCTGTTCGCAGAGACAGAGCGACTGCAACCCAAATTCTTGGTCACATAACTTCTTGAAAGTGGCGTAGTGCTTGAGGTAGAACTTGTTCTTCTCGGGAAGCACTAGCACGACTAGACCAGCTTTGCAGGCCTGTGCTTGGGCGAGGGCACCCTCAAACACCGTTTGGGAGAAGTCGGACAGAATCGAATGATTGCTTTGGTCCAGTTCCTTGAACTCTTTGAGACCTTTGATGCCGTTGAATTTGTAATGATCGTGAAAGCTGCACAGATAGTCGTTGAGTCGCTCGGGATATCGCAAATCGTTCTCGGGGATCAAGAAATAGGCCGAGCCGCTAAAGCTGCCAGAGGAGATGAATTTTTGGTCCGTAAGCATCCACTTGCCATCTCTGGGCACGGTTTCCTTATCAGAGTACTTGACCGTCGGCGCTTTCGTGAGGTACGCTGGTACTGAGACGAGCTCGGGGTAGATGTCGATTCCGTAATCTCGCAGGAACTTCGGCACGGTATTCTCTGAGTTTTCAGCAGTGGCGTCCTGTACGCCTAGAAAGGGTACAAACTCCTTTGCGATCAAGCTGACGTTGAGCTCTGGTTTCCGACAAGCCTGTTTGATGAGCTTAGATGTCAGATCAGCGGAAAGGTCACCACGAAATTGCTGATAAGGAAGAATGATGAGGTCTTCTGCCATGAACCATAACTCTTTACCTTCACCGCTGCCACCAAGATTGACGCAGGTTGAGTTGGCATTGCCCTTTGACTTGGTACCATAGCTAGAGCGCATATGCTTGAAGACCGTCACATTGTCGTACGCGATCTGCTGCCTAGCTTCCTTGCTGCTGAAGCCCGTGATCGTCTTGATCCTCCGTTTCGTATGATCGAGCGAGCGGTCAGGATCGTTCGGTCCAGTCCGAGTGAAGTTGAGCCACACACGAACTCCTCGTAGATCTGCCATTCGCTCTCGACGAATGCCAAAATTGAGGTATTGAGATACACTCATGGGTTCGTGAGACACGCTCGTAGAGGTGTTGACGTTCAGCAAATGGTAGCCCATGCCACTGCGATAGGAGAAGTTGTAATCTCTGACAGCAGCTTTGTTCTCTGTGCCCAACGAGGATTGTCCTGTCTTGAAAACACCTTGTTCGTGCCGAGCGTAAAGGATGATCCCGAGGACTGCCGCTCGATGGCCTTTTTGATGATGATGTTGATCGCCTCGACCAGTACGTTATCCTTGAAGGAGACGCTCTGCGCTCCACCATAAATGAACACATCCAACTCATCGTAAGTAAAGCGCTTGACGTATTTGAGCTGGAGCTTCGTCTTCTGCGGCTCGCTGTTTGGAGTTCTGGCATCATAGTTATCGACAGAGATCGAAGCCAGAACATCACCTTCACGAGCAATGCCATACTCTCCACTGTCGTGTTGAGAGAGGTCTTTGTACGAAATGATCTTCTTCTTGTCATCTGATACGAAGAAGTCTCGCTGATCGGCCAGCAGAGGACACTGGTGGATCATGGCTTCCATGAGCACCCGCTTCTTCAAACGAGTAGCATCCTTATCGATGCCATTGACTTCATAGAGATAGATTGTGCTGTCCTCTTTGGCACAAAAATCCATTGAGAGGAAATTCGTCAGGACATCAAATCGCTGGTTGTCCTAAGGGTTGGCAAACCCTCGTCGCAACATCCTCAAATCTTCAGTGTTCTGGCCGACTTGCTTCCTGAAAGTCTTGTAAAATCCCCGCCAGGCGTGGCGTTTGTCGAGCTTATCCGAGCTGGGGGGCGAACCAGCTTTGATGTCAACATATGGGTTGGCGTTCAGGGCAGGAGACGTGAAATCAGGTATGTTTGAGTCATTGTATCGACGCCGAGATATGCGGCGAGGAGATGAAGCATCATTGTTGATTTCGAGAGTCGAGAACTTTTCCGTAGTTTCATCGGAAGACATGATCTGTCGTTTCACAGTGCTGTCAGTAGCTGATGCGTAGCTAACCTCTTTGTATCGCAGCCAAACCAGTGGCATAAGACTGGCTTCATGTTTGCTCTGCAAAGTTTGCTGCCCCCGTCTGAAAGGGCTCAGTCAAAAAGAGATGCGACTACGATTGCCCGATCGCCGTTATAGCCTAGGAAACAACACGAAACGTACATCAAAGACAGCATGCAGCTTCTTTGTTGTCGTCAACAATCATTCAAAAGCCTGTGCCTTCCAGATGCACTTTGGCTGCGCCATCGACTATTCAGGTGCGCATCATGCTGTGCAGATAGGTCACCGAGCAGATCCGTCCGGTGCCTGGGTCAGATGCAAGCAGTTCAACGATTGTCGTAAATCCACGATCGTTAAACTCAGCGGATAGTCTGCCACGTTGTCCCATCTGACACTGTACAGCATTCGGTTGCAGCAACTGCCCTTACTCTTCCATTCCAAGCCTGTTACCATGCAGACCGCCAGAGATCAATCCAACATCGAATACAATTGTCTGCTCATTACTGAGGTCGACCATGATAGCGAGGACCCTATCAGGTTCCCTTCTGATAAGCCGTGTCGGTCGGAGCCGCGTCGGCTACTTTTACCTGCCTCCGCTACCTTCTACGCCGAGTACTTCGCGGTTCGCGCCCGGACATGTTCGCGGTGGTAACCTTGGCAGTTCCGAGCGTGGTCGCATGCTGTTCACTCATTCTAGCTCTCGCAGTCGCTACGTCAAGCGTGCTGGAAAAGACGAGGATTTGATCCCTCAGTGCAAGCGTACCTCACTTGCGGACCATCGAATTGTCCAGCTTATCGAGGAGCAGTGATGAATCTGCTCCAAGATGCTGTTATGATCGTGGACAGGAGGCCGAAATCTTCACCCGAATACAATAAGCTTGTGTTTTGGCATTAAGCCTGTCGAACGCGTGTCGAAGATCGAGAAAGAGAAAGAGAAAGGGATGCAGGTGGAACAAGGAGATGAGAAACACATGCTTACTAACTGCGGCTTGGCCCGGAGCACAGTCTGATTGGACGAGATTGAAACCTTGTCTAGAGACGACGACCACCACGTCCTTTGCGAAACTATTGCTCTTATTCTCCAAACTACACGGCAGCGCATGCATTTGGTATTCGGACAGTATATACCAAGCAAAAGAAGTATACCCGCACTCACAATCCAAGCAGCGAGAGAAAGGCTAGCGCTCATTCGCCCCAGCTAGCAGAGCTCGCCATTTGTCTATCCGCCTCCTCTGTATTCCGTCCGCCACCATGCTCAGACTGTCTCAAATGTCGACCTCCTCGGAGATCCAGCGGTCCATTTCCCTAGGTGGATCCTCCTCGATGTCTTCTAAGGATTCAAACTGGTTAGCAATGCCCCTGAGCCATCGATGTATGCGATTCGAGTCGACAGTTACGATGAAATCCTTCTCCATGCTCCTACGATAACTATCGTCGGCGTCATCTACGAAATCGGATTCTACGTCTGATCCGGTAGGCTGAACACCAGCCTCCAGAAGCGCTGATTTTGCGTTGTAATACTCCTCTTCCGCTTGTATGAGCCAGCGTGTAAGACGTTGCGTCTCCTGGAGCTCGTCTATATCGATTTCCGCCACTGTTTTTACCTTTTGGCCTGCTCGAAGTCGTTCATCCCTAGCTTGACGCTCTCGATCAAAGTGCTCCTCACGGTTCCAAAGGAGGTCCTGCGCATCTTCCAATTGCGTCTTGTACATTTGGAAGTCGTAACGAAGCTTTTCTGGACTCGAACGAACTTCTGGGGAGTCTGGCGTTCGTTCGAGATCGGGGGATGTTGAAGTGTGGTTGCTTGGTCGAACGCTCGATTTAGCACTTAGTGATTGGACGACAGTACCATCGTTCGAGTAGAGCTCTGGTCCTTCATCTGCATCTTCACAAAGGCTTTGTTCAGTCGACTCTGGCTTCTCCGCCTGCGTTTCGCGAGGCGGTGGTCTCCACTATTTCCTAGAGTAACCATACTGTCTTTTCGAAAATCGGCCGACTCGACCGCACAAAGCTGCTCCTCCGACCGCTGCCCATTTGCCTCCTGCAGCTAGGTTGAGCTTTATAGTGTCGATTAAGGGTTGCGTATAATCAAGAACAGTGTTTTGTAGCAATTGCACGTGTTCTCGAGGAATTATTCAATATAGTTTGGGCGATTGCTTAATTTCATCTGGGGAGAAGTGTTTTTATATTCCCTGCGTTTGCTTGATGCGCACGGATCTAGACAATGCTTTTATGTTACTAGCTCACGATTTACTATCAAACAAAGTTTTCTTCACACGGACTACGCAACACAAACCGAATCATCACTGGACTAATGGCTGATACCTATCACGTTAATCCTTCACAAGCTCTGCAGATAACGAGAGGCGCCTTAAGCCATCGCGCCAACTTCGCTTCACTATACCTATCCTGGACCCACCTTCAAATACTCAGAGGCATGAGAAGAATGGCGCAACTGCTATGATCTATGAATACTAAGTCAATGAGCTCTGACAAGCAAAAAAAATGGCCTGTGAGACGTGAATGGAGGAGAAGGAAAGTAAATGGCGCCCGTGAAGAGGAATTTGAATGCGGCTACATTCGCATACGATACAAAGCATCTTGCAATACTCGTTAGCCTCCTTAAATATGAACTTTGCACTTATAAACCCAACCTCGCCATGCCAGATTCAGAGATTATCGCGACGACTACCCCTATCGCGCAACATAGCGATATACGCAGCCGAACCCCCAGATCATCACATCAAACCCTCAAACACACAGCACCGACACCATGCCTGGAAGAAACGTCTTCTCGTCGCTCAAAAAGAACACAAAAAGCCACTTCAGCAATTCTGGTAGGGCAAAGAAGACGACAGGGCCCGTCGAGGTCCTCGAGGAGCCTCGAAATGTCTTGAAACCAGACGGCAACTGCAACAGTACCCTGATTTCGAACTCTTCCGTCTCCCATTATCAGGAGAATACCGTGCCCGAGGATGATGGCTTCGAGATGCCCGCTTACCAGAAGAAAAGAGCCAGGACAGAGTTCCGGAAGGCCGCAGTAAGCAATGCGATCAACGAGGTCGAGGCCGCAAAGGCGATGGATCCTTCAGATGAGGGTTCTTGGAAGCGTCTCAACGATGCTCAAGCGGTACTCGCACAAGCTCGCAAGGAAGACAACCGTCGATTGGCGATGCAGCAGAAAGCCGCCGAAGCTGCGCGTCCGAGGCACAAGTCGATAGTCATTGGTAAATATGGCCACCGAAGCTTGTACGAAGCCCAGCCGAAGACGAAGAACCACGGCGTACGGTTTTCAGACCAAATTCCCGGCGCGATCTTCTACCACGAAGAAGTCCGTAGACTTGCCGGTCACCCAAGCATCAAACCAGGCGATCCAGGTACGTTCCAGGATCATCGTGGGATCTGGCACTTCGCCAAAGGCCGATTCTTGGTGTCTTATAGTCGGCAGCACGCCAAAATCAACGAGGTCGAAATCCTGACTTTCGGTAACACCGGCGTCGCAAAGGTTCCCGAAGAGGAATTATGCGAATACATCAACCTGAAGCCGAAAGGCGTGGTCAATTACAAGCCACAGGTCCTAGGGGCTCCAGTCCTAGAGGTGCAGACCAAAATCGGACGCCGCTTCGTGGATCGTGACACTATGCTCGTGCGCGTTTCTTGCCCGCATACTCGCGATCTCGACTGTGATGAACTGGAGAAGGTTGGTTCGATTACTAATGAGAGCCTTAGGATTCTTATCGCATCAATTCAGAAGTTTCCGGGCCGCAATGCTTTAACTGAAGGCAAATAGAGCAAGGTAAGGTATTAGACTAATGTAATACTAGTAGATAGAAAGTATAAAGGCGTTTAGAGGTTTTGAATTTCTAGAACTTTTTAGACAACTTATAGTATAGGATGCCGGCGAGCCTTTACTACGATTATAAAGTACCGTATAGGCAGGGACTACCTAAGGGTTGTCGAAGGCAAGGCAGCAAGGTTAATCGGAAGGGTATTAAAGATACGAATATCTAGGTTAAAAATTAGAATAATAGACAATTAAAAACATATTTAGTAAGTACGGTTACAAATATCTTGTTCTTACACGTTGCTCTCCGTTATTAAACTATATTATAAAAGATATATTCGAATTCTCGAAAATATACTATAGTTCTAATACCTATATAGCGCGAGTAGCAAGCGCGATTTTAGCCCTCTATAGCTATAGCTACTAGAGCTTGCTACCTGTCTATCTGCCTCCTTTATACTCTATTAGCAACTATACTCTAGCTATCGCATATCTCAACCTCTTTAGCGCTCTATAAGTCCCGTTCTCTAGGTTTACTATTATAAAAACATTCCGAAGATTCTAGTAGCATTTCGTCTAGAACTTTACTAAGCTAAAGACGACGAAGACACGATTTGCGTCTACGGCGTTTAGTACTATAATAATAGTCGATTCTGGGTTATTATTATTCGTAACAAGGACTCCGTTATTAAAGTCCTAATCTTACCTATAAAAATACTAGTCTAGAGAGAGTTCCTAAGGGAAAATATAACGAATATCTTAAGTTTTAACCTTATATAAGCTAAAGAACGTAAGTAAGAACTCTAAGCTATAGAACGATAAGGCAATCCTCGAGATTGCGGTCGACTATAGTAGGATAAGGATCGATCGGAACATAATAGTTATTCGTATCGTAGTACTAGATACTTACGAGCTCGACCGCGACGAGCTAAAGAAGATTAGTACGCTTAGCTACGTAAGCGTAATAGTTCTTCTCGACGAGTATAAGAAGATTATTAGTATAAATATAACAAAGGGGAATTTTACTTATCTATAAAAAAATACAGATAGCGGTTATAGCGGAATTATAAAGATAATTTTTTAAAAAAAAATATTAAAACGATTAAACTATCGTAGGAGAATAGGAACGAACTATAAAGGCGTTTAGAGTTTTTTAATTTAAAATTCTTAATATAGTATAGGAGACCGGCGAGCCTTTACTACGATTATAACTATATAGAGAACGATCTTAGTATTTAGGAACAAGGCGTAGAATTTTAGATTTTAGTATAAGATTACCGACTGCCGCCCTTTTAGCGTAGATAATAGCGAGATACCTAGAGTCTAGCCTAGAGCAGTAGGAGACTATAATGCGATTTTGATTAATATAGACCTTTTAGTGCTTCTTACTTCCTTTTTAACGTAAAATAGTCGTAGTACGAGGATAGAGCTAATGCCGACGAGTGAGCTCGTAAAAGCTTACCTTAGCCTTCGTCGCTCCGACGTACTACTTATCGCTATACAGCTCTATAGTAATCTCGTAATATGAATGCTTGCCGACTCCAATGAGTTACTAGATTAGCTTAAAGAATGTAACGGGGCAAGTTTGAGTAAAACCTAACACAAAAGCTTTTGCTCTACCTTACACCTTATAAGTCCCAGTGTCTACCAACCTCCGTCCTTGTCCCGCCTCTTTCTCCCAAACCCTACACTACGCTACGCATGATTAGCCCTAACCCCCCCATCAACACACAAAACCACCCCATTACAATACCCCCCAGCCTTACCAGCCAAATACAACACCGTGCCCGCAAGTTCCTCCTCCCTCCCCATCCTCTGCGCGGGAACCAAACTCTTCGGCATAACCCCACCCGTACTCTCAAACATCTTCTGCACCGGAACAGTCATTTCGCTAGGAAACCAGCCAGGCGCAACAACATTCGTCCGAATATCATGGTGCACCAAGAAATTGCCTAAATTCTGCATCAAATGGTGCACGCCGGCTTTGCTGGCGTTGTAAATGAAAGTATCGGTGAATTTCACCATGCCGCCGGCGGAGCCGATGGTGAGGATTTGGGATGTTGGGGAAGAAGAAGAACGGCGTGTGTTGCCGGCGGCCAAAAGTTCGAGGAAAGCCATTGTGGTGGCGAAGACGGCTGTGATGTTTGTGTCTAGGACTTTTTCCCAGAGGGAGTGGGGACGGTAGTTGAAATAGTAGTCACGGATTTCTTGGATTGAGGAGTCGGGGGAAGGTTTTGGGCGGGGGTTGGGGGTGTCGTCGAAGGAGGTTTGGCCGGCGTTGCAGATGAGGAGGTCTATGTGGCCTGTTTCTCTGGTGATGAGGTCAACGGCTCTTTGGAGGTCGTCGTGGTCGGATGTTGAGCCTTGGATTGGGATGATGTTGCCGTGAGCCTGAGGTAGTGTTAGTCCCAGCCCGATTGCCGGCGTAGCCTGATGAATGAAGTCACTGGTGCTTACGGCTTGCTTGGCAGCCTCGTCTAATTTCTCTTTTCGTCGGCCAGTGATGTAGACTTTTGCTCCATTGTGTTCCAGAGTCTTGGCAATTATCAGACCCAGACCTGGTTCCTTGTCAGATGCTACATTGCGAGAAGTATACCACCAATCTCACCAGTACCGCCTCCGGTGACCACGGCGACCATACCGGACACATCGTTAAGGGATTTTGGATCGTATGTTGCTGATGCCATTGTCATAGCCTGATGGAGGAAGTCGAGGTGTAAGTGAAATCAATGAAAGAGTGCTTTGGTCTATACCACTCGGCGTCGCAACTGTTCGGTATGCGAGGCACAGCTTGCTGCCCCGCGTTGAAGACGTCAGACTTCTCCACACGGCAATCGAGAACCCGAACTGCCATTTTCAGAACCTAGATATACGAAATACGAACTACATCGCAACCATACATACAGTTTCTGCTACAAACTTCGAAGTACATGTATACAGTATCTATGTAATTCCTAGAAGCTAGAAGGCGGGTGGAAGGATGCAAGGAAGCACTGAATCTACGAATGCTTGTCCAACACTCAAGGGCAACCCGGCCTGCCTTGTGACCACATCAGGCCATACCTACAGCGTCTTCGCGCATCGGAAGGCTATCAATTGTCCCCCATTCCGGGCTAGCAAGGGGTTGGGCCAATTGAAAACTCGGCTTCACTGCAAATCAAGGATTACGGCGAATAGCTACTTGTTGTTCAGCGGTCCGAGCCTACTCTCTTTCACTCCGATATGTACAGCGGCAGCAGAACAACATTTCGAAGGCGTGATCGAAGGCTTCTCGAAGCTACATGGCTACAACCATGCTATGCTGTTGTATACAGTAGAACCACATGAGGTGTAAGTATATCAACCTATACAAGGGTGTAGATCGCGCCGCCACGGCGGCTAGGTTTGTAAGGCCGCTTAACCACTTCTATAGTTGTTTATAGGCTATATATAGACCGCTAAGAGGTCCAATTTCGAGCCAATTTGAAGCCTTATAATCGCATAGTATAGGCCTGTAAATAAGGAGTAACGATAAAGCTAAACTAGACCTTATTTAGAGGCTATTTCTACCTCTTATTTATCGACCTGTTTTATCTCTTCCTCGCGGTTACATATCGCGCTTGTTTCGACCTTACTATCGCTAAATTCTACGCTCTTTACGATGTATAAGAAACACCTACCTCCTAAGGATATAGAAGCGTTACTTACTAAGCTAGAGGTAGAGCGGCTAGTACGTATAAGGTCGGTAAGGTCGGTAAGGTCGAGAATAGCGCTAAGTTAGTATACAGTTTAAGAGCCTATTTCTACTAAATATGTATAACCGAAGGCGCCTATTCTTCTACCCTCCTATAGCCGAGTTAAGTAGTGTTTAGGCGTACGAGGGTCTATAAATAGAAGGCTTCGAATACGACGAATACCGCTATTTCGTAACTAATATATAGTATTGTAAGAATCGACTAAATAAGCTATTAAAGGACTCGTAAGGTCGGTTATATCGCCGACTCGGCTTCGAGTATCGTATCTATAAGCGCTATATAGACTATAATCGCGTAGATAGTAGAGAGGTTGTTTTTAAGCGCAAACGGCCTTAGCGACAGCGCGTAGCGCGTACGATGTATATATACGACTATTGCGCGAAGTTAGTAATTATTAAGGTCTACGAGAAGCGACTAAATCGCGAAATAGGCGAGTTTCTCGATAACTGTATACCGGCCGCGCTACCTTCGACTCTAAGTGCGAATTTAACGGTTATAAGGCTAGTCTACGTAGTGTTAAAGCCGCTTACTAACCGCTACTCGTATAGTCTCGAATTCGTCGATTCTTTACAAACTAACGATAGCGTAAAGGCGGTATAGAAGGACCTAATCGCTTCTCGAGGTAGCTTAACGTTAGTCGCTTAGTTAGTTAAAGAAATGCGAAGGCCTAAATAGAGGCAAATTTGGCATAATGCTAATGCGGTTAGCATTACTCGAGACCGCGTTTCTAGCGCTAATCGAGAAGGTCTAAAGCGACTAAGTAATAAGCGAAGACAAGGTGCTAAACTAGCTATCGAGGAGCAGTTATAGCAGGCTTATTAGTACTTGTCTACGAAATTCAGTAGTAGAAGTAGCTTTATAGAGATAATTGAATCTCGTAGAAGCGATAGACTCGTCTATAGAGGCCTAATTTAGGCGGTAAACTAGCAACTTCGAGCCCTTCGCAACTATAGGTCCTTATTCTTACTAGATTCTATATACCTCACTAATAGGCTTAAATGGCCTCTCTTAACTATATACATCCGCAATAACTACTTAGAGTAGCTTCTAGCGGCTCACTTCCTTATAGATTGCGAGTAAGTATACCTAATTAAGAAGGCAATCTCGAGCCTTCGAGAAATAGCTAAATTAGACTACAAACACTAGATAACCGGTTTTAATAGCTATAGGAAGTACTTCTTCTTTAACTAGGCTAACCGCTGTTCTTCTAAAGCTAAAGACTAAGACGACTTTAACTATACTAAGCAATCTTCCTAGATACCACTATAGTTAATAACTGACGACTTAGTAAGTAAACAGCTCGGAGTTAGTTACGGTCTTATAGATTGTAGTATTATTTAACGCCTCTACTAACGGCACCTTATTAAGACCCTCGAGAAGTACTTTAAGCGCTTTCTACCTATTTTGAAGGCAATAAGCAAGGCTCTATTTATCGCTCGAGACTAAGAAGAATGCTAATACTTTATTAACTAAGCAATAGCCGCCTTCAACACCTATAATACGGCTAAATCGAGTGAAGAATTGGCCTATTTGAAGGCTAATTAGAAGGCCTCTAACAGCGATCGCTAGGCGACTTAGGCAAGGCTCGGAGACCCGATTTTAATAGCCGTTCGCACTACTAGTCTATTAGAGGGCTATTATATATACTTGAAGCACCGAGACAAGCGTTAGATACGTAAATAGAGCTTACGAGGTACGTATTCTTCCCCTTCTTCTATTACTATCGGAATTCTATAAGAATAGAGTCCTGCTGCATTCCTTAGAATAGGCGGATTCCTTAGAATAGGCTAGCTTTCGGCCTTTAGTATTATTCTTAGACTTCTACGGCTTCTTGTCTCTTCTATACAATAACAACTAACTATTCTAGGTACCGTCCTGCACCTCGTTTAGCTTAATAACTATATCCGCGAGCGCGTCTGTTAAAATAGCGTTGTCGATAAGAATGGCTAGCTTCTAATATAGCGTTAAGAGAAGACTTCTAAATTTCGACGGTTACCTCTTTCTATATAAAAGAAAATAGCGGATAAGCTTATATAGTGCTATAAGGACATAGACAATAACAAGCCTGCTTAGCGAATAGCTCTGCCGGCTACGGACGACAATATATATACTAAGTGCTTCTATTACTTCTAGTATAGCTATTACCTTCCTTATAAGCATATTTAGCGCTTTTATAAGGAAGCAATTAGTCGCCTTACACTATACCGTTATAGCCTCTATATTAGTCGCTTCTAAGGTCCAAATAGCAACCTTATCTACTCCGACTAGCTTAATACAAAGCTTATTATTAAAGACGAGCAGTTAGCATAGGTCTTCTACGTTAATAAGGCACTAGGAGTGTCTCGGAAGCGCTAGGTAAAGGAATACTTCTATTCTATACAAGAAGCAGTCTTATAGGCCTTCTTCCGGTTCTACGACTCGTAGGCTTCTAACCTTACCGACAGTTAGCAATATAAGGCCCTTCTATAGTAGGTTACTAACTTTGTAGCACTTAGCTACGACTCGCGAGTCGCTTAGATAGACTAGTAGTTTAAGAATAGTACTCCGTAGGCTAAATTGATACCTCGTCGTACTATAAAGTAGCGAGTTGTTAACGATAAGCCGTTGCGGCAACTAGTCTTCTATATAGCTCTAGCTCTATTGCTACTGCTACTAGCACCTATCGCTTCTATAACCAACCTTCTATATCGGCCTCGCCTTATTGTCGAAGGCTACGCTCTACTAGTCTATAGTCTACCTAATAGCAACGGCGTTGTTGCTTAGGCTAAAGATAAAGACGTACTATACGAGGTTAATAAGGACCTATTTAATAGGCTCTTAGATACAGACCTTCTTCTACAATTAACGCTAATTAGTCGATTGCCGCTATCTTTGCTAAAGGACGCTAGCAAAAGTGATTAATACGATAACGACGAGGTATTAAGGCATTAATAGCCGTTGCTATCGTCCTTACTAGATAATTTGCCTTTACTAAGTAAGCTGTTTCTACCTTCTATAGTAGAGCTACCTTCTATAGCAGAGCTACCTTCTATAGTAGAGCTACTACCTTCTATAGCAGAGCTACTTTCTATAGTAGAGCTACTACCTTCTATAGTAGAGCTACCTTCTATAGCAGAGCTACTACCTTCTATAGCACTATCTATAGCTCTATATTCTTTACCTATATAGTCGCTAGGTAAGGACACTTCAATTAATCTACTATAGCTATTAGGTAGCTCTTATAAACCTCGTCGTTAGAAGCCTTTAATTAGTAAGCCTATAACACCTTCGAAACGCGCTCGTAGAAGGTTATACGTAGGTATACTACCTAAACTGTACCGGATAGATTAATCCTCTCGTACGCTATCTCCTATACTAATTAGACTACTAAAACGACGGATCTAAGGAGAGGTTGTCGCTTCTAAGCGGTAGAAGTGGTAGTGCTAAGGTACAGGCGTAGACTTAGTCGTTTTCGAGCGATTACGGCTGTTCGGAACGGTAGAAATCCGAGGTAATTGGGTTATATAAGGGGTGTTTACAATACCCCGATTTGTACACTAATTTCGGTGGTTTCAGGGCACTCTGCAGGGGCATATAGAACCCACAGGGTGTGCTGGAGCTACCTCGAATTTACTTTGTAGGTTGATATACTTGGATCTGAACCACATGCCCTGTTCCTTCTTGTATTAGAACTATTGCAGCAGCTCAAGAACTGCCGCATATGCACATCGGGACCCTCGCCAAAAGGCAGTCGCTATGCTGGTACACCACTATACTTGCGGGTGGGATTTTAAATTGTTCATGCTCACTCACATGCCGCCGCTTCATCTTCTTTTACTTCCTCGTCCAGCCCTACCAGGCTTCCCACCTCGTCCTTTCGTGTCGGCATTAGCTCCGCTAAGCATGACCCTCACGCTCTTGACAGGAACAACACCAATCACTTCCGGCTCACGCCACGCCTTGATGAGTTCGGCTTCCCTGGGCCATATTCTCTCGGTGTCCCGGCTCTGTGCATCCAGCTTCTTGTTGTCACTCGCATCCCGCGCCCATTTCCCAAGGATTTCTCTGACCGCTTTGCCCTTCTTCTGCTGTCCAGGTTGCATTTTAGCCTTGTACTTGAACCTGCCAAGAGCCGCCCATGGAGCACAGATAGGTATTGCTTCTAGAATCTCATCGCCAGCAAGAGGCTGCCCGATAAGCGTATCGAGTTGCGTGAGAGCTGCTTCGTCATCCGCATCGTCTGCGCCGTCTTCGAGGTTCAACCGCCGCATCTCTTCGGCCTCCAGACCTTCGCGCTGAGCCTTTTCATGTTGTGCCCTCCGACGGGCGCGAGTCTCCTCTGCTGTCTCGGTCTTCGCAGCCTTTGCCGCTGCTTCTGCTTCACGTTTTTCCTCAGCTTTGCGAGACCCAAGTAGCCGCATGGCAATCTCTCGATCTTCTTCGTCTTGATCCGCATACTTCTCTGCAAGCTTCTTTGCCTTTCCTCTTTTGCCACGAACCAAGGCCTTGATCTGCTTGGCTTTGGCTTTCTGCGATGGCTGAGGTTTCTTGTCTTTTTCAAACTTGGCAAGCGCTTTGCGCTCCTTGTTCGAGAGCGGCGCGGATGTTTCTGGTTGTTCCTCTTGGTCTGCGGGAGTGACCGTGCTCTCCGTGTCTTCTCGACCAAGCTCCGCGCCATTCGTGCTGCCTTCGACAGACCCAGTTTCCTCATCCTTTTCGTCGTCACCGTCTTCATCTTCATGGTCGTCGTTGTCATGAGCGTCAAAAGCGCTTGATTGTAAAGGATTTCGTTGACTGCGCGAGTGTTCTTCCTCATCATCATTATAGTCCGGCGTGCCGTATGTCCGCTCACGTTGTTCTTCTGGTGATTCGTCACTTGAGATCTCGTCTTGTATTTGCTGCACATCTGGGAACCCGTCATCCTCATCTTCGATACGCGGCGCAGGTGGCGCGTCTGGGAAGTCATCGTCACTGCCATCGTCAGAAGGCTCGCCTGCAGCCGATGACTCCGCGATCGTCTCAGCATCTGTGAGATCCGGCGTCGCTTGGTAGCTGTCCTGTCGAAGCAAGCGGTGTTTAACATGCCGAGCTTTGCTTTCTTCGCTGATTTGAAACATGACACCAAAGCCAAGAAGTAGCCGGGCTGGTGGCAAGAAGTTCTTCTTCCCACGAATGATGAAACTGCCGACTGCAAGATACTCGCCGGTATCTGCAGTCTTTGACACCTGCTCCGCATTCACCCACCAAGCTGACATGACTGCTTTACTGTCCCATGCACTACTCCTGCACACCACAAGATCGCCAGCTTGCGCTAGAGTTGAAGGTGGAATGGGAGCACATGGAGTGTGCGGGCTGTTCTTGATAACGACGCTCGAGGCACCGTTAAGGTCTGCATGCACGTAGACGTCGCCCTTCCTTAGGTGCCGTCTGTAGAGCATTTCGTTCTGCAGATCATCCCTGCCAGCTAGAACCAGATAGCCGTCAGAGGATATGAAGTAGATAAACTTCTCGAACCAGAATTGCTTGCGCACAGGTCTCAAGACGTCTTTCTCTTGCTTCAGATCTTTCTTCAGTTTCGCCATTACGTTCTGCTCGGTGGACTTCAGCGCTTTTTTGGAGGCGGCCTCCGTCCTCTCCTGCTTCGATGCAGCTGTTCTCTTCTGGTCGTAGTACTGGCGAGCATTGCTCCAAGCAGAGGCGGCCAGATCAATGTCAACGGTGAGACGCTTGTCCTCGGCGCGAGCAGGTGCCGTTTCTGCATCTCCATCTTCGCTGTCTGAAGGCTCACTATCCGTGACGTCCATTTCCTCATCTGCATCCCGACCAATCTCGGACAACAGCAGCGTGATTGTATTCTCATGCAACTTGAGGGGTAGCTTGATCAGCTCAGCCACAGGGTTATGCCGAGCCTGTTCATTCTCGATCAGGCTGCCAATATCGGCCCAGTCCATGCCTTGCGCAATGAGGCCATTGACAGCAGCAGTCGCCTCCTCAACTCGCTCGACATTTGCCTCTATTGCTTGAGCCTTGCGAACGTGAAGTTCTTGGACTTGCTGCAAGCCCTCGATGCGCTGCTCCTGCTCTTTGCGTGCATGCTCGATACGCTTCTTGGCGTTGTCCTCACGCTCCTGAAGTCGCGATTCCAGCTTCTGTCCTTCGATCGAGGAGAAGAACTCATCGACTGCCACGTTGAAGCCATCATACTCAAGGAACACGAAGGATTGGTCTTCGGCCAGCTGAGCAGGCTTGAAAGGATGAAAGTGCTCGTACATGACATCCTTGCCCTCGTCCGCCGTCCCATCTGTGTCTTCTTGCTTGCTACTTTGTTTCCTCTTACCCAGTATGTAGCCCTTCGCCACAGGCTGACTAGTGATTTCTGCCACCACACTCTCCGCTTGCTTGAGAGCCTGCAACACCTTTTCCAGCAGTTCATCGTGTTCCAGCACCCTCTCTGGCTGAAGCTCTCGATCTACTCCAGAGACATGCAGAGCGTGATCAAGCAGGACAGGCGGGAACTGCGTCGTGGTCACAGCCAATGCTTTCCTCAGCGGATCTCCCGCCTTCTTCTTGATCTTTTTACCAGGCTTCTGCGCCTCAGCCTGCTGCTTCTCTACAGTCTTCTGCAAGCTTTCCTTCAGCCATTCTTTCGTGAGTGACGGGACTCCTTCATGGTTCTGCCGCAGTGACAAATTGTACTTCAACCCTTGTCGATACTGCTCGTGCTCCGCACCCTCACTGACACTGCGTAGGAGAGCAAGAATTGTGAGCTCATTGTCGGTGAGCACAATATTGCCACCGGCATAGAACTCGAGGAAAAGACGGTATGCGCCGTCTGAGAACTGGAGCTCAATGACTCGATCAGTGCCGATTTGCTTGACAGCAGTGCATCTCCTGGTTTTGAGGAACTTTCGTAATCGAGCGACGAATGGCGACGGCGCTGCCGCTGTGGCTCGTGCAAACTTGGTGAGATGACAGCGAAAGCCGGAGTCGACTAGGAGTTGTTCGCGATGCTCTGGCTTCTGGAACTTGAGCAGAAATATACGCGTCGAAAGGTCGTAGACATTCGCGAGGCGGAGGGTGGTGAGGCTGTTGGAAAGCTCGTGGGCGATACACTTTACGTCCAGACTAGAGAAGCGCTGCTTCATGGCGACGTGCTGGGTGGGAGGGTGTTATTAGTTGAGACGAATACATGTGTGAGAACAGTCATGAAATGCTGTCCCACATCGAATGACTACGTCACTATCAACATCCCGCCCGGGCCGGGTAACACGTGCATACTGTACATAGAACTATCCGGTCTGAGCTTTCCATTCACTCAGATTCTCAGAACACAACCTCTTTCATCTGATCAGTTTTGTTATACTGTGGAACTAACCCTCAGCATGCCATATTGTGAACGAGCGTCGTAACATCCAGAATGCTGGCTGCAGAGGACCGCATTGCTCATAGCCATACACGACCTAACCGAGACACCGCGAATACCATCCGTACCCGGCTTCCCCACGCTGGACAAGAGTTGTACAGGGGAGAAACGAAGGATGGTTAGAAGGCAAACATGACATTCAAAAACACGGGTTTTATTTGGAACGTGGTTGGTCTGACGCAAGAGTAGAATTGGTAGAGCGCGTGCGTTCGCTTTGGAGGTTGGTAAGAAGAATTCGAGGACGATGCTGTACTGCTCTATGCTGCTCGACAGTCCCTTCAGAGAGACTGACTCAACCTCAACGTGAGCGATTCGAGCTGATCACGTCGAATGCCGTGGCAAGTATCATTGCCACCACGATGACTTCAACCGCCGGGCTACAGAACCTTCTCCAACACTTTCATCATCATCATACTGTCTTGTGAGGAAGGCAAACATGAACTCTCTCCTGAGAAAGCAACATCCTCAGCTTCTGACGTGTCATTACAGGCCTCACAGTACCCGACACCCATAACCGTAAAAGTGGCCTGTGCAGGGCATTGAGGAGAAACGTGAAGCCGTGAGGAGAAACGTAAGGCCGCCGGGGGGGCCAAACGTGGCTCCGAAACGAACTATGACGGGGATGCTCGGAGCAAGGAGCAAGGAGTATACAACAAACATAGTTCCGGCATTGGACGAGGGTGTGTGATCCTGTTTCTCGTTGACTTTCTCAGGTATTCGTGTTGTTCTATCCCACGAGTACTGTACAGCCTCGCTGGTCGTTTTTTTTCGAATGCGTCTGGTGATGCTCTGCGTGGATGGTGCAAGAAAGGCGGTGAATAGGCCCCTTCGAGCATTCTTGCTTACCTCTTGTCGTCAAGCACTTTCTCGACGACGAGTGACGACGATTATCACATGCAAAGCGGCTTGAATCGGCGTATTGCCTATCGCTGTTGATCTTGGGACGCCGGCGACATTGGTGGTTTCGGGGCGTTGTTGGAGGTCATCATTACGAACATGGGTGTCGGATAAGCAAGGGGGTTTCCGCAACTCTGTTGACTGACTGAACGGGTGACTTGGAACTGATGAAGTGACAGGCCAGGGTCGCCAGGGCAATTTACTGCAAGCCAGATCACATCGGATTCGAGATGAATACGAGATGGTGCAACGTTGGTTGTTATGCTGTGCGGGCAGGGATCAAGCGAACATCTCGCAGTGCATGATCAGAAAAGGTCAAGCATAGTGACAGGCATTCGTTGAAGAAGAAAGAGCTGACGTGAGTGTTGTCCTTAGTATGTAGTGTCTAGTGTGATAGGTTGACTTGATTCAGCCAGCGGCACCAACGCGAAAATCACGCATGATCATTATCAAGCATAGCAGTCTCGTGGTCAGACTTGGCCGACGCAGTGATCGGTCGGCGCGATGGCATTCCTATGTCATTGATGCATTTTGATTCATTCTGCTGCAAGACGTTAGTATCAGCGCCAGTCTCAGATTACCGCACTGTCGACCAAAGTACAGGGATTTACTCCCTCATGGCACGGAGAACGGTCCTGTTCAAAAACCGCCCGGCTTACCGCAAATGACAACCCAATGTCGCAGAGAGCAAGCACTAGACAAAACACCATGTTGTCAATCCAGTCAAGGGGGCGATAGAGCGGGTCACGAGGAACAACCACGCACGTGGTTTCCCGTAGGTTGGACATCGGACACGGCGGATGAGGACATGGGAGGATGTCGTTGATGGCGTCTAGGTGTGCATGGCATGACTAGCGGTCCCAACTCTGTCGTCTCGAGGCCTGATTGGGTACGGTCGCCGTGTCGATGAACTCGCTGTTTTACGACATCCGCTTGTTCGTGATCGATCTGTGCAGCGGCCACAGGCATTGTATAGAGGCGGATCGTGAAGCTAAGGAACCGAGTTGCATTTTCCGATGTTTAGGCGCTCCAGCCCGTGGAGAATGTCCGCTCTGGCGGTGAGCCCAAACTCCACTCATTTTGCGGGATGTTGTTATTTCCATCGCTTGTCGAAAGTGTGAAAACAGTTGTGGTCAGTAATGCTTCTGAATGACCGTAGGCAAAGGCCCCAGTAACACGATGTTGGCCGTCCGAGGCACGATTCGCACGCGATCAGCAGGTGTTGGAATGACCGCAACTATTGTCACAATGCTGATGCGGTTTGCCGAAGGAGCTCTATAGACGCAAAGGACTTCGGAAAGTGGGCCCGGTGTTGTGGTTGTCTGTCTGCACAAGGCTGGTCACAAGCCGACAGGTACGGCTTCATTTTGTCGTGGCGTGTGCTCATCGGTCCGCATAACTTGATTTCGGTCTGCGAATGCGCATATTTTCCCTTCATCATCTGCAACAATGACCAGCATGACCAATGCTCGAATGACAATTGGCAGCACATCAGCCTCGGTCAGATTGATCGACAAGCAAAGCCTAAACAGAAGGTCACAGCAGCTGTGACAACCACGCTTACACCATCTAGTACAGCTTGCAGCTATCACATAGGTGCTAATGCAGCTTTCTTGCTCGACCAGAGTAGTAAGAGTAGGCAAATGACGGCGTGGACGTTTTGGGGCTAAGTTGTACAACGAGGTTGGTGTTCTCATTTAGTATACAGATATCGAGATTGCAAGGACCTCGAGCGAACAGAAGATGTTGATGTTTCTGTCCTCGTTCTCGTACAGGGGAGTCGAGGGTCACTGAGATCCGGAACATCCCGTTTGCTAATGCGCCGGCGTTGTCTCGTTCTGTGAGGCCGCTGCGTGTGCCCTGCTAGTGATCTCCTCCAGCGAGGCTCTAAACCGAGTTTGCACAATGGACGAGTAATGAAGGAACGGTGGCAGTGCAAATGAACCATGACTGCCGTATGCGCGGTCGATCGTGTAGAGGTTCATCTCATGTCGGGCCCCTCACTCAAGATGATGGTGAGCGAAGCCAAAGAGCTTCTAGTCGCGTGGAGGTGGAGACCGTTTCGCAAGCCTGTGATAATCTCATGTCGGGTAACCTGACTTTTGCGCACCAAGCGAAGACAGACTTCTGTCCTCGGGACCACTTCCATATCCAAGTTGTTCATCAGAAAAGGCCCGTTTGGATTGCAGGGTGTTGTCGAGGTTGGATCATAGTCAATCGCGTAGCATGCTGGTTGAGCAGGGCAGTAGCCTGTTCAACTCGCCGCGCTACCATCGATCCCAGCGTCGCTTCCTACCAAAGTGCCTAGGCAGACCGAGCTCCTCAAAGCACATCTCGTACTCGCTTAGCTCCTGCTTCTCTTCGATAGCGTCCTCTCCAAGCACAAACCCATCCTCAGCAAGCGCGCTCTGAACGTCGTGCTCTAGTTCCCCCTCACGCTTGTACAGGAGCACGATGTGCTGGAGCCACTTGGTCTTCTCTGGGCCAAGCGAGACCAGCCAATCGACGAAGGTGCTTTGGTTCCAGTTCTTTAGCCAAAACAGTGGTCTCCAACACTCGAAGACATTGCATTGGTAGTACAGATGTAAAGTTTCGCTGCGCAGCTGATGAGACACTCTAGTTATGGGTGGAGGAGGCGGGCGGTTGAGGCGGTCCATCCTGATAGGCCTTTTCGTCAACTGTTTGCGCTGCAACCGACCATGCGCATTCGGTCCTACATCAGCTGTCTCGTCATGTTCGTGTGATGCAGCAGTCCATTCAGTCACAGCGTGCATCCAGATTTGCTCACGCAGCTCTGCTGGTAGCTCTAGCAAGCGAGAGCGCGCTTGCGTGCCCGAAGGTTGCATGGCTTTTCCCAGATTGGAGTTGCCGAGCACGAGGTCGTGACGGCCGAGAATCTCCTCCAGATGTTGTTCTTGTTGTTGTTGTTGTTGTTGTCGTTGTTGTCGTTGTTGTTGCTCATCTAACCACGTGACAAATGCGGCGTCTTGGGCGGCGCCTGGCAGGATTCTGACGCGCTCAGTTTCGGTGATGAGGGTACGGCGGCGACTTCTCAAGCCTTTCGGCAGGCGAGTATTCGGTGATCTGGTGTCTAGAGATGCTCGGTAGCCAACCCTGGCTCGGCAGCGGATATCGTCTGGTACGCTTGCCAGGTGCTGGCAAACGCCTGGAGTTGGTTGCAAAGGTCGTTGTGTGCGGTTCAGTGCCAGAGCATTCACGTTCAAGCGAGGGAACGCACAGTGCGCGGGCGAGAAGAGTCCCGCATGGAATACAGAGACACTGATGAAGGAGTGATGGAAGGACTTGGTGTTGCCCGCAAGGTGCTGTGCGAGATGCCGGAGCGTCGCAACTCGCCGAAATTCAAAAGAGCCAAAAGTTTCTAGCGGCACAACGGAGCGAACACCTTCTTTTGCACCTCACCTCACCTTTTCTTACTTCACTTTGACATACAAGCTTCAAGCAAGACGTTGACAGCACAATTAATGTTCGGGGGAAGTGGGAAAGCGAACGTAAAACCGCATTCGAAGATCGAAATCCCTCCTCCCGCCAGGATCTGCTCTGGCCTTGGTCTTGCGACTTGTCACAGCGGGAGGCTCGACTTGCTCTCTCTCTCTGGCCTCACGACCACGCGTATTGTGATGCTGTCCAATACCGGACTGCCACTCTCACCGCTCATCTTCATCGCTGACCTGAGCCGACAACAAGCGAACAACGAAGATCGTCCAGATTGTCAAGAGCGTGGGAGGAGATGTATGCAGTTGCCGGATGTTTCACGGCTCTTATTCCGACACACCACCAACAAACAACCACGTTCGCTGACATGCCTGATAAGTGGCGGTGTCGAGTCCGACGCGGCACGCCTAGGTACATGCTACATCCCTCGCAATCTACGAAATTTCCGTCATCACGATGGCAAAACAAAATCCAAGCCAAGCTCGAAGAAAGTCTATGTGATGCCCGAAAGATCATTCTTCGTTTTGAGTTTGCGCGGTCATGACTGTGTCGCGGTTATGCTACCGATACTAGCAAATGAGCCGGTCAAGGCTTTACCGTCTTGAAGCCTCCTCACTCGTACAGAGAGCTTCTACAGTAGATTAGTTCAGGGCGACTGTACACCTCCCTCCAAAGCCTCCTGAATCGAAATCGACGATTTGCCAGCATTCAAAAGTGCGGCACATCGCGACGAGTCATTTATAACAACCATCCAAGGGCTAGAAATCCATCTCCAACGTAAACGCTATCTTGAATTGTTACATCATCACTTCAATACATGTTCCTAGACGAAGGGACGGACCCTGAACCTTGGACAACTTGCCGATTCCGTTGCATTAGTGTGGTGGTTTTCCATGACTCGGCAGATGTTCGAGATGATGCGAATGATATAGCTCTTTCTGTCCAACCCCCATCCATCATCCTTACAGAGAACAGTAGCTCAACGAGAGAAGGTAAGCTCACCGCCTACGTGAAGCTGACAACATTCGTCTTGGTTGTAGTGTCATTGCGATTTGTGATTGGGCCTGGCCAGCAGGTACTTCCTGTTTCGATTTCTAGGTTTACCGTGGGTCCGTCTACTTTCTTACACTCGAGCTTCGGCAGCTGGCGACCGAGCGTTACGTATCGAATTTTTTCTTCTCCGACTCTTCCCACTGCAACTAAGTTGCGCGTCCCGAGGGATGTCCGACTAAGCAGATGAGGTGTGGCGGCAGCTTGCGTAACGAAGGCGATCTGCAACGGCGCTGAGCCTCACTCAGAATCTGTTTGTGGATAAAGTCCAACTGTAGCAGAGATTAGGGATGTATCCTGCTGATTGACAGTCATTTGAATCAAGCCTAGCCGGGATAAAATCTACCACTGAATGTGTCTGAGTACTTCCCGAGACCGGGCTTGCGGACCAGGTATAGCTAAGATCGGAATCGACCTCCCGGTGTATGTGCAGTACTTAATGCATCACGTGGGCCGTAGATGACTTGTCATTTATTATTCTGTGCTGTCATTTAAACACGCAGCGCAGAGATGATTCGAGGATGCACGCGATCCCGGCGAGTGTTTTCCGGCAAACCCGTGTACTGCCGTTTGTAGACACGGCATCCCGAAGCAGTTGTAGGACCGACGAGGTTGTTTCTGAGTTTAAGGTGTCCTTGGGATCGCCCCATCAATGCTCGTGACTTGCTCGTGGTCGGCAAGGATGTGGCAATTGCAGAGGTCATTGCATCGTCATTACGAGAACTGACGCCTCAAGTAGCAGGGTGTGGTGCCAGGTCCACGCTGTAGTATCGAAATGCAGAGAGAGTCTTCTCGAGGAGAGCGGGCAGAAGGTCAGGATTGGATTGGGTATATGTATATTAGAGTTCGACCAAACGGACGTGCGCCATGCAAGTTCAACGCTCCCGTTGTCAAACTCGTCCCGTGCAGGTGTACGCAGAACATCGACGGAAGAGTTTCGGAAGACGAGCCCCATGACAAGCCAAGCTGGCCAAGCATCGGTGAGCAGGAGGATCCCTGCGCAGGCCAGTTGGCTTGCAGGCCTGTTCACAGCGGCCAGGACAGGGCAAGGCATGTCGAACGCGGCTGGTTTTCGATGATGAGATGCTCGCGCGCCCCCGCGGCCTGATGTAATTTCTTAGTCGCCTTGCCTAAACAGTGAAGTCGGGGCCGACTGGCAGCCTGTCGCAGGATGGAATTGAGAACCCCCACTCTGGATGATGAAAGAAGGGCTCTGTGTGTGAAGCGCTCGCCTACTCGCAGCCGAAAGGCACTAGAGGTGCAGAAAGGAAATTGGCTCTCACATCGGTCGCGGGTCGTTCGTCTCGCTGTGTGGGACAGAAGGCGGGCGGAGCAGCGAATCCGCGAATGACGACGAGAGGTTCTCGTATGTAGCGATTTCGAGCATAGCGGCATATATCGGGTCAGAGGTTCTCGCGAGCCAGCTGGGACGGGACAGCCTGGCGGGCGCGGTAGGTAAACTCGCCAGCGGGCCTGGGAGAGAGCAGAGAGTGCTTCTAGCGCGCTTCGAGGGCCTGTGGCATGAAGAACAGGCTGCGCGTGCAGGTACTTAAAGTGCAAGCTAGCGGAGGGTGGAAGTGAAGGCCACATGCCTGCCTGCCGCAGAGGTGGTGGATCTGTCGCCAAGAAAGCATGCCGCATTCCTTTTATTGGAAAGCCGTCGTCGTCGTCGTCGGGCAAGCAAGCATGGCAACCTGAACGCGTGGTGCGCTGCGCTGCGCTGCGCTGCTGCGAGTTCCAAGCAAGCACCCATACACGCATTAACGTTCCCTCTCGTCTTTGACCACGCAGCAGGCCGCGGCCCAGAGAGCTGCACTCCCAGCGCGTGCTGTCTTTTCCGTTTGATTGCGACACGCCGGCGGTGGACCTTGGACCTTGCCTTGCCAGTGTGCGCTGCAGCCTTCCACCCTTGACGCTGCCGTGCATGCAGGCCTATACACTATACACACACTAGGACTGTCGCTACTGTCACTTGTATACTGTACTACGCCCATTCCTCTGGCCCGCCGTTTGTTTCGAGATAGAGTTGGAGCTGCTAGAGCGAGCGTAGAGGCAGCCTGCGCGGTATGCACCGCAGCTCGACCAAGGCACAAGCACCAGCACCAGCACCAGCACCAGCACCAGCAACAGGCTCAGGCTCAGGCTCAGGCTCAGGCTCACGGACGCTGCCTGGGGACCTTCACTGCACACCAGACCACCAGACCACACCAGTGACCACCAGACCCGAGCCGACCAGCACTAAACCTCACACCCTGCACCTGCGCCTGCACCTGCACCTGCACCTGCACCTGCACCCGCACCTGCACTTGCACCGCTGCTCACCATTGCAGCGCATCATTGCATTTGGCTCCCGTTGCCTTGCCGTGCGCGTTTGTCGTTGCGACCTCGCGGGCTGACCAGGCGGGCGCCGATGCATGTTGGCAGCACCTGCAGCTCCCGCACGCCCAGTCGCCTCCCGTCGTCAGTCTCGCACCGGACGTCGCTCGCGCCTCGAGCCACCGCTCAAGCCTTCCAAGGGACTGCGTGACCTGATCTCCAAATTGGTCTGAGCATCTCCCCTCGTGCGACGCCAGTGAGGGATCCTGGTCGCTGGCCGCCACTTGCCGCAGCTCAAGTTATCAGTCGCGCCTGCCAGCTAGCCATCGAACTTGTTATCGTAAGTACCGCTCTCGTGTATCATCGTCCTATTTACCGGCGACGTCGCGCCCACTGTCGCGCGCCCTCCGCGCTGCGCTATACAACACTCTGGGGCTCTTCCCAAACCTCGCCCACCCTTGTCCCGAATGTCTGCCGCCGTGATGTCGAATTATTACTCATCGCAGCTCCAGGTACACAACTGGATGCTCGCGCACATGAACAACAACAATTACCCGCCGCCGCCCGAACAGCAGCAGCACTACAATGGCCTCTACGCCGCCCAGCCCGGCGCCCAGCAGTTGTTGGACCCGGCGCAGCAAGAGCAACTCCAGTTCAGCAACTTGAACCAGCCCATCTACCCGAAAGTCGAAACTCTTCCAGGCTCGAATCACCACAGCCCCGCCCCTCAACATGTTCAGACCCTGGCTCAAGGACTCCACGATCACTCTGGTCTGGACGAGCACCAGCACAGGCACATGCAGCACAATGTCCATGCCCTTCAGCAACCGACTCCCGTCACGAGCCATCCGACGAGCGCAGCAGGCCACTCAAATCCAGCTACGCAGACCTCGACCCCAGAACAGCCGCAGAAGACGAATCGATTGAGGAAAGCATGCGATTCGTGCAGCATTCGAAAAGTCAAGGTGGGTGCTTCTTAAAGTCTGACAAAATTCGGAGCTTGAGGCAGAACTCTGACACTTCACAGTGTGACGAGACTGGACCACCATGTCGAGCATGTGCGGCATTGGACATCCCCTGCACATTTGATCGACCTAGCAGGCGAAGAGGACCACCAAATCGACATGCAGAAGCTATTAAGCGTAGACGACTCGAAGAGCAGGCCGCAGCGAGCACACCTGGCTCCGGAATGTCCTCTCCATCATCACCTACGAACGCAGCACACGCTTTGGCTGCGCTTTCCGGACACTCGTCAGCACCACTTTCTGCAGAGTCCATCTGCCCCATCGAGACGCTCGACCTGCTCATTGACGACTTCTTTACCTACATTCATCCACTTTGCCCGTTCCCACACGAGCCCAGCTTTCGCGACGCTTGGAAGCGTCGAGAGGACTTGACCAACAAGTCATTCCTGTCCCTGCTGGCATCCATGATCGGAGCTTTAGTCGCGTCTTTTCCAAGGAAGCCGCGTTTGCACCTCAAAGCCCAGAAGAGAGAGAACATGTTTCCCAATCACATGAGCCTGGTAAAGCGATGCCAAAATGTGTGTGCGGTGGCGCGCGGCCCAGGATACCTGGAAAGCGATCACTTGAATGTGTATGACGCGGCAACAAGCTATTTCCTCGCGTTGACAGGCGTGTATACATTCAGATGGCGTCTGGGTCGGCTATATTTCGGCGAATGCTTGACCATCCTCCGAACTCTTGGCTTGCATAAAGCCAAAACCCAAAATTACGCCCAATTGGGCTCTCTGCCGACCGCGATGGGAAGTCACAGCAATGCATTGGAAAACGGCAATGAGCTCGACAACATCACGCTTGAGATGGGCCGTCGCATCTTCTGGACCATGTTTGTGAGCGTTAAGTCGATGGAGCAATTAGGTGCCAGCTTTGGTGAACTGGTCATTCCTCCGCCGACACATACCGAGCCGTACCCACCTCTGCCGACTGAAGTCGATGACTTCTGCATCTACCCAAGGTATACTGAGCAGCAGCCCGCTGGATTGGTGCCCATGATCGCCGGGTTCAACGCCAATGTCCGCGTCTACTGCTCGTATAACGCCCTGGCCACTATGGAGATGGCCTGGGGCATCGATGCTGTCGTGGATTGGGAGCGACAGAAGCGTGTCCTCCACGAATCTCTTCGCCGATGCAAGGAAGCCATGAGCAACTTGCCAGCGGAAATCACTGTGCAAACGAACGCTGGAACTCCAAACCAGAGCAACGGCTTCTATCCCACATTCGTCCAGCCCCACCTCGGCAGAGATCCAGCACAGAGCCTCATGAGTCCGTCGTCGCGAGTCACAGCGGAGCAGTCGCCGGAAGAGCGTCGACGATCCCAGCATGAGATCCAAAAAGCTAACATCTACGCCTCGAGCTTGGCCACTCGCTCATATCTGGTGGAGAAGTACTGGAACCTTTGCGAGGCTCATCAGCGAGCGAGACAGTCCCAACCTGGGTCTTTGCCAAGCTCACCTGGCGCCGGCGTCACAGCTGCCGGGATCGACAATATGGTGCCTCAGATTCCCACCAGCCATTACGACATGGTAGAGAACGAAATGCGCGAAGAGCGCGAAAACATTGTGAAAGATCTCCTCATCGTCCTGGGCAGCATTGACCAAGTCAACATGGAGCCCAATGCCGACTCCTTCGTAAGTCGTACCAACTCCGACAAACCTATGAGCTTTGTGCTGAGCCAACCTTGTCAGACCATGAAGATCCGCTCGATCGCGAGCACACTGATCGAGACACCCGACCAACGTAAAGGTCAACTTGCCATTCAAGCTCAAGAATACCTCACGGCCTTCTTGAAGATTCTAATGAAACTGGAACGTGTCAGCCCGGCCAACAGTGATAACAACGACCTACCAGAAGATGAGGATGCGGAACTCAGAACTTGGGCCGATCTGAGGGAAAACCAGATGAAGTTTGCGCAGCAGGGTGGCCTGCTTGGTTTGTCTTGAAGTGTTGACGCTTTTTGCTGGTGGACTACTGTTATACAATTGCGCAGGCGCTCTGCGTGTATGTGCGTGCTTGCTTCGGAAATCGCTCGATACCCCGTGGGCCCAAATTTTATATCATGTCGGCGCTATGGGTGGAGGGGATGGAGGGGATGGGAAACATTTGATCGCGGCGACGATCCCCAGATTGCTTCGCTTCGGCTGGCTGGCGTGTGCGCTTCGCTTTGCTGGTTCGATTCGATTTTGTATTATGATGCTGTTGAATTAAGTTTCAAGCATCTGTCTATAGACTTACAAGTTTTTTTTTTCAAAAAAACTGTAAAAACAATTTATGTCGTTATGAATAGGATGTTGGATTTCGTATCTTGTTTTTCCATTCAAATAAAACATATATACATATATACGTGCCGTGTGTCTTATGTCTTGTTATAGGAAGTTTTTTTCTTTTCTCGGATTAAGCTTTTATACTATAATATATACGATAGATTTAGTAGAGGCTGTTTAGTATCTTAGGGTTTCCGGAGAATGTGCCTTGTTAGTCTATACTCTTATACGAATAGGTTAGTTTTAGAAGACGACGAGCAGCGAAGTGCCTTCTGAGAGGCGGTTGGAAATATATCCCGAGATTCGATATGCGCATCGGATGGGAGGAGGGTGGAGTTTTAGGGAGGATGGGAGTGGTTCTCCACAGATCTGCCTTGGTGGCTTTCGTAGTACGATGGCCTGCAGCTTCGCGAGCTCGTTGTGCAACAGCATCATCCACAGCACAGAATCATCACAGAGCGGCTGCTCAGGTCACAATTGGCCGCCAATGCGTGAAGTGACGTTTGAGTTGCGTCTTGCGTAGATCTTTGAGAAGGTCATGATTATCCTCTTCTCCAGAGAGTCCTCGATATTCTAGCCGACGTCTTCACACCAGTATTGCTTTTGCGGCAATGCGCCGAGTTCCCACTCCCATCGAACTCGCTGTGGCGCTGGAGGCGTTGTTAACAGAATTGGAATTCTCGGGACATGGCTGCATGCGATGCAAATGTCAACGTATCGGGAGGATGGAGTTCCAAGCTGAGAAATGGCAAAGCGACAGGCCTCTCCGTCGCTATATGAAGGCAATTTGCAAGGTTCCAAGCTTGGCGCGGCGCCCACGGATGGAATGCGCAGATCAGAGGAGGCGGCAGCATTCGAGTGGTGCAAAGGAACGCAGTGCAGCCGCTCAACACAGACGGCGGGTGTTTTGGTACCAAGAGCAGCCACACATCGTGCTCGTCCAAGCTGAAGCTGAGCCACCACGGCGCTCTGCGGATTTGGGTCTTACAATTGCATCGAGAGGGGGGTTCATTATCGAGGGACGGGGACGGGGACTGGGACTGCAACCCAGCTTTGCGAGTTGGCATGACAGCACCAACACGAGTGTCGTGTTGCTGTCGCTGCCGTTCGGAGTCGTTATTGCTCGCCTATACCTCCTGCTATACCCATACTCTACAACATCCTCCCCTGCCGTCCATCCTCCTGTCTTGCTGTACGGTAGTTCGTCTTGATCTGTGCGGTGACGTCTGCGCTTAAGCGTCCACTTTTGGCGTCGGATCGACAGACAGCATTTTTCCCTTTGAACTCTGCACTCGGCAAGCCGTAGCTTAGAGCCCGCGATCGCATCTCCGTCACGACGCTGCTGTGCGAGTTGCTGTGCTTTCCGTGCCCACCAGACTTCGAGTTCGAGTCTGGCCCTTGGGAGTCGCATACCAATTGAAGACCCGCTGGCCGCATACCACGACCGTCGACGTGGAGCCTGAGGATTGTGCGCTGCTTGGACAATAGTTCTAGCCGCGGCGACAGGGCAGCGCTGCACGACAGATGACATAGCATTGCCGTGGTTGTGCATCGTCTGCAGCAGCTATCGCATCCCGACGCCATTGTGCCCAGCTGCCACGAGGCCTCGACACTGCCACTCCCACGCCAATCGCACGCGAGCGAGCGCATGACCATACGAGCGCGACACCGCCGTTGCTTCGGGGTCCGCGAAGATGGACAACCAGTCTGGCCAGTCGGCCAACAGCAGCAGCGACTTTGTACGTACACACGCAGCTGATCGGACTCGGAAGCTCTGCTGACCGTGATGCGCAGGTTCGCAAGCTATACAAGTAGGAGCCATCCCATTCGAGCTGCCGCGTTGCGCGCCTACTGACGCTGATGAATGTAGAATGTTGGAGAGTCCACAAGATGAGAGGGTCGTGAGATGGGGAAACGAAGGCGACAGCTTTGTCGTGCTGGAGGTGCGCATGGCTATAAACATCGGGAGGCTGTCGAGCGCGCCTGGCTGACCAGTCCCGCAGAACGAGAAGTTCACCAAGCACATTCTACCAAAGCACTTCAAGCACAGCAATTTCGCGAGTTTTGTGCGCCAGCTCAACAAATACGACTTTCACAAAGTACGGCATAACAATGAAGAGGGAGGAACATCGCCTTACGGGCCAGGAGTACGCCATCAAGCGCCAGACAGCTGTGGGAGATATGCTCACGCGATCACAGGCCTGGGAGTTTAAGCACCCCGATTTCAAGGTGAACAACAAAGATGCTTTGGATAATATCCGGAGAAAAGCGCCGGCACCTCGAAAAGCAAATAACATGACCGACGACATGCTCCCGACACAGCAAGTCGATCTTATTAACACCCAATTGATAGCGACACAACAACAGCTGCAGCAACTGCAGGAGAGATACAACGAGCTCAGCATGCATCACTCCATGCTGTTACAGGAAGTCATTGGCGTGCAAAAAACCGTGGTCAATCACGAACATGTGATGCAATACGTCATGAATTTCCTGAACTCAGTCGACACGCAAAGGCGAAGAGAGAGTCGAATTCTCAATCCAAACCCATTCGCGAATGCAGCCGGAAACGACCAGGCCAATGGGACGACCACGCCTGGAAACAACCAAACCACGCCAGTCCCACCGATCGAAGATGATGCGCCGGCCTCGCCTTTACAACATGCTGCTAAGCTTCTCAACGAGGTCAATGCCGACCACATGCTGAATACCCGCAACCTGGAACAAATGAACGAGGCCCAGATGCGAATGAATGCTGCCCTCACAACACCACCACCAGACGTTGCCACTAGGAATGGAACACGGTCCTCAAGTCGCGGTGCACAACCGCATTCTGCAGCTTCCTCAAGCTCAGTGGGATATGACCTCGATAATATGGTATACCCGATCGGCCATACCCAGGGTATTGATCCTGCGTACAGCGAGCACATTCACAACATTCCTTATCCAATGCCTCCAAGAGCCCCAGATGGAGCCATCCCGCCGCCAGCGCCGCCAGAAATACGGAAGAAGAGTACGCAGGTAGACCCAGGTTGGGTCCGTCAGCCGCAGATTCTCCTTGTTGAGGATGATCAGACATGCCGAAGGATAGGCGGCAAATTCCTTTTCGCTTTTCATTGCTCTATCGATAGCGCTGTAAGTTTGTGAGACACACTGCGCCCGGATGACTGTGCTGATGCATGGTACAGCTCGATGGTCTTGAAGCTGTCAACAAGCTCAATTCCGGATCCAAGTACGATCTTGTTCTCATGGATATTATTATGCCCAATCTCGATGGAGTGTCAGCCACACATCTTGTTCGACAGTTTGACAGCACAACGCCTATCATCGCCATGACCTCTAACATCCGCAGCGATGATATCTCGATGTATTTCCAGCATGGTAAGTTCTCGCCACAACTGAAAATATAGATGCAAACATAACAATTTCCAGGAATGAACGACGTTTTACCAAAACCTTTCACGAAAGAAGGTTTGCTGGCCATGCTTGAAAAGCATTTGTCACATCTCAAAAAGGGCGGCGCTGGAATCGCTGACCCTATGCCGCCGCCTTTGAATTCTGCTAAGCGGAGCCTAAAGAGCGAAGATTCTCCGGCGACCTCTCCAGCGACCGCCAGCAACTGGAACTCGCCTAGTCAGTTTCCCGGTGGATCACCCTCGGGTAGTGCGCTAGCAGAAGAGCCTTTCATACCGCCGCCATATGGACAAGCTCCCATGGGGGCTCCGATGTACGCACCTCCAGCTCCAGGACAGCTCGTGATGCCACCCCGAAGAAATATAAACGACATTTCCGGAGGTCCTGACATGCAAGACGCAAAGCGCCAGCAAATGTACGCGCAAGGACCGATGGGCCAAATGGCCCAACCTATGCAACACATTCCACGCCCTCCTCCACGATAGCGACATCGTGCTGGTCAGAGCGCTTAATGCATTTGTAAATATGTACATATACCCCGAGAGCAGAGGCGGAGTTTTTTTTCCCCCACGCGTTCATGAATGCGTGGGTGGTGCGTTTGGATTAATGCGCGGGTTGTCGCATTTTTTTGTGTGTATTTCTGCGAATCTGGAATGGTACTGGTACTGGATCTCGAGTCGATCTAGGTAATGTGCTCAAAGGCGAGCTGCAAGGAAGTGATCAAGATGAAATGAAGATGGCGAAACAGTGGCTGTCTCGAGATGTTGACGGTAGCGAGCATATCTGAGGTAGATGCCTGATGAATCAAAGCTGTTTATATCGAGCATCTCCTGCTGTCTGTAATATCTTGCTGCAGTGATACATGTCTTCCTCTGAAGTTCTAGCCGTTATCTCGTGATTCAACATGCTTGTGATTCAATTGTCGACGCACGTTCCAATCGGATGCTCCCGGCGCTACTCTAGCTTCGACATCCGACTCGAACATGACTCCTTCGACGAAAGTACACATCGCAAAAACACACAAACACTTGAGACAGTCAAGATCAGACACCAAGATGCCACCAAAAGGAAAGAAAGGTGGTGGCAAGGACAAGGGAGAGGAAAAACGCGAAGAGCCTCTTCAAGCAGTAATTTTCGCCGACTCCTTTGAGACCAGATTCAACCCCTTCACCCTCGAGCGACCAAGATGTCTACTTCCGCTAGCTGGAACACCATTAATCGAGTACACACTGGAATTCCTCGCAAATGCTGGGGTGGAAGAAGTCATTCTCTATTGCGGCAATCATACTGAAGCCGTCGAGGAGCACTTGAAGTGAGTCGCTGCAATCGAAAACTTTAATACATGCATGTGCTGACTTGGCAGTCACTCCAAATGGATTCTCCCAACGTCGCCATTCGAGCTACAAATCATAAGATCAAACTCTAGATCGGTGGGCGACTGTATGCGAGATCTGGACGCCAAGGGTCTCATCGAGGGCGATTTCATCAGTGTTTACGGCGATGTCGTGGCCAACATTCCCCTGGAGGGCGCGCTCGCGGCTCATCGCGCCAGACGCGAAAAGGACAAGTACGCTATTCAGACTATGGTCCTCCGAGAGGCAACAGCATCTCATCGCGCACAATCGAAGCACTTGCGACGAGTGTTTGTGCTCGACTCCGAAACACATCGTTGCGTGCATTACGAGCAGCTGCGACCTGGCGAAAGTGCCTTGCTCGACATTCCAGGAGAAGTGCTGGAAAATCACGTCGAGCTGGAAGTCCGCGAAGATCTAGTTGATTGCGGTATCGACATCTGCACACCTGAAGTGCTGGCACAATACACGGACAATTTCGACTGGCAGCTCCCGCGACGTGGTTTTCTGTATGGTGTCTTGAAGGATTTTGAGACCTTCCAGCACACTATCCACACTCATATTGCGACAGAAGGATACGCGGCACGGGTGAAGAACCTCCAAACCTTTGACGCCATCAGCAAAGACGTTGTGTCGAGATGGACGTACCCGCTTACACCAGACATCAACCTCGTGGCCGGCCAGTCATTCCAGCTGTATAAGGGCAATGTCTACAAGGAGGATGGTGTTGTGCTGGCAAGGTCGAGTATTGTCAGTCGTCGAACCGTGCTTGGCAAGTCCACTTCTGTGGGTGAACACACCACTATCACCAACAGCGTCATTGGTCGACGTTGCATAATCGGAAAGCGAGTGAAGATCGATGGTGCGTACATCTGGGATGATGCACACATTGGCGACGACGCAGTGATTGGGACGGCAATCATCGCGAACGAAGTTTCGATTGGCCGGAGCTGCAAAGTGGAAGACGGCGCCCTCATCTCATACGGTGTGCGTATAGCCGACGGTACTGGAGTACCTGGCGACAAGCGCATCACTACGCTCAAGCGCAAGAGAGGATATGAGTCCGACGAGGTCATCAAGGCGCCTTCTGATCCCAAGATCGTAGGCGCAGACGGTCATGGTTATCACATGCAGATTGACGAAGATGAAGAAGAGCTCGTGGATTCACTACTCTCTGGAGTGCAGAACCTAAACTTCACCATGGACGAAGACGCAATCTCTGAGCTGGAGTCCGAAGATGACGAGGACGATGACTTCTCCGGTCATCACGTCCGACGAGAATCTAGGAGCGATAGCTTCGCCTCCGCCGATTCCGAAGAGAGCAAGGAGACTCGAGCGAAAGCTAGAGACTTTCATAACGAGGCAGTCGCCAGTCTTGTCGACGACATGGTGAAGGGTAATGATCCAGGCAACATCAGTCTCGAGCTCAAAGCCCTTATCCTCGGCTCAAACGCCCAAGATGATCAGATCCGACGAGCAACAGCCGTGGCATTCGGTAAATGCGTCTCAACTCTCATCGAAACCGGCCAAACACCGAATTCGGCCGTCACGGAACTCCTCCCTCTATACTCTGGCCTCATTACGAGCATTGTCAAGGAAGAAAACGAGCAAGCGGAATTCTTACTCTTCTTACAACGCGATCTGGTCAACCGCGCCCAAGGCTCGAAAATTCTTCTGTTCATGTCCAATGCTCTCGCTAAGGACGATGTCATTGAGGCAGAAGGTTTTGAGGCGTGGTGGAATTCTGAGAAGAGTGTGGAGAGTGCGCAGCTTGAGGATGTGAGGAGGGAGACGAAGCAGTTGGTTGATGTCCTCTGTGCTGATGATGATGATGAGAGTAGTGAGGAGGAGGATGAGGATAGTGGTGATGATGATGAGTAAGAGTTATTTATGCTCGCGATGCACGCATGCGTCAAGGTTTCTGAGCATCGCGACCGGAGGCTTCGTTTACATATATAGTCTCCCACTTTCCGACTTCAGTGGGCGCATATTAGACCACGGAGCTCTGCACCGTTGCGAATCCGAATCGAATCGAAGTGAGGAACATTTCTGCGGAGAGCGAAGGTCACACGTGTTGGTCAGAAGTGGTATCTTGTTTGCATCGGAGTTGGAATTGTGGTGCCACTCGCAAGGCTGCATCTGCGTCTGCGTCTAGCATCTCTCTTTCGTCTCTAAACCCCAGAATCTGTCTCATGCATGACATTTTTTTCTTTTTCTTCTTCTTCTTCGATCTTGCCCTCGCTGACTAGGTTGTGCGATGTAGTGTAATGCATTATGACTTGCATGAAGATCTGTTGCCCTTGTCGCGACGGACATGGTTTTGGCCTCAGATATGGAAGTAAGCGCGATTGGCCCCTAGTCGCGTATGCTTGTTTACTCTCTCTCTCCTATGACTTCTATTTTGCTGCTACTTTGCGGTGTACTTGGAATAGCAGTCGAGAAGCGTAATTTTTCTGCGGAGTCCGGTCGATGCTCTGCTCTGCTCTGCATGTGATGTGGTGTGGGGAGGCGTTCGGGAAAGGGAAAGAAAGCGCGCGTGCGCAAGATTTGAGAGAATTTCTGGGATTTTTTTATGAGAAATGTTTGGAAGATGATGAAATTGAAGGGTAGAAAGTCTTGACGAGACGTCGACATGTGGCTTCAATTTTACCTGCTATGATGGTTCTCTGTAGTTCGCTCTTGGTTTCTGGAATGTCTCGCGAGATTCTTGATCGTTAATAAGAAATCCTCGTGGAACGATTTCGTTGCTGAGAATATACTTTTCTCAGTAGTGCGTGATCAGTGTTGTTTTTCCAACCCGGATAATGGTTGTCATTCGCAGGAGACGGAGGTTTCATCTCGTATTGTTGCTACTTTGCTTCGGACTCTTCTTCGATGGCGCCGGTCGGTGAGTGGGATCTTGATATTACCGCCCGGGTTTATCTCTGGCCTAGAATATTCGCATGAGCTGAAGTTCAGCCAGGCAGCGTTCTTTCTCATGCCTTGGCGTTGGATGATATCCGGGTACAGTCAATTCGGAGAGAACCCCATCGCAGTGCACGAGCACGGAGAAGGCACCGGAAACAGGCTGCAAGATCCGCGGTTCGCCTCCATTTTGCCCGGCAGGAGACTGTGTCCGAAGTCGAACACGCTCAGGCTTCACTCAACTCCGATTCTAGTGCTGTTGATCGAAATCGCGCCTATGAAGGTCGCGCCGTGCCGTGGAATGCAATTGAATAATGAAGAGGTGCAGGTGAAAGTCTCAGAAATCTTTGTTAATCACTTCCGACGTTGGCACATGTTCGCATGACCCCTGCCCCCGGATGCGGCTTGTGACGACCCTCCCGCTGCCTAGCGCGAACCCAAACCATTGCGCCTCGCCCGCCGTCTTGAGAAACAGCAGCTTGACCCTCACCTGCGAACCCTTGGCTCATCCACCAACGTTTGCCTCCGCGCTTGCTTCGCCACTCGACCAACGGTACTACTCTGACTCCTGCCTCGTAGTCATCAAACCAGTCGCTCAGAATCATCATCTCCGCGAGGCTCGATCCGAAATCAGCTACCAACATCCTCCAGCGAAGCCGGGTGCCTTGTCCTAAGGACGAGGCAGCCGCAGCATCTGCCAAAATTCCACCCACGTCTCGGAAACGCTCCTTTGATAATATTTCTACCTCCACGCACATCGAGGCCACTCGGAAGGCAAGCAAGACGAGTCACAAACAGGACGGCGCGTTGCTGGCGGAGGTTGAGGCCGCTCCGACCCCACAATCTCTGGCTTCCGATAAAGGCCGTGCAATGGACTCGGACGACGAGGTGATGAGCGTAGGCGGCTCCTCTGGAGACGATTTCGGTGCAGACGACAGCAGTGTCGACTTTGGGGCAGCAGGTGTGCATCACATGACACAAAGTGAGACAGCCAGGGTAGCGACTGACTAATGACATCAGATTCGGACGTCGAGATTGAGGATGACTTCCAAGACGATGGCGCATTCGAGGCGCAAGAGAAAGACCTGAAGCGCGAGAAGAAGGCATATGAGGTCGATTTCAAGGTTTACAGTCCGCAAGACATTCAGGCACAGCAGGACCGACAGGTTTCGGAAGTCGCGAACCTGCTGGAACAGCCGCACGAGGCCACCGCGATCCTGCTACGGTATGGGCGATGGAATAAAGAGCGCGTTATTGAGCAGTACATGGACAACCAGGAAGAAGTGCTTGAAAAGGCAGGCCTAGGGCAAGATCTACAGCGAGATCCACCCCGGATTGAGACGATTGACGGCTTTGCTTGCGATATTTGCTGCGAGGATGAGGCCGGTCTAGAGAGCTTTGCTATGAGGTGTGGCCATCGCTTCTGTGTGAACTGCTACAGACAGTATTTGGCCCAAAAGATTCGGGAAGAAGGGGAAGCTGCGCGGATCAAGTGCCCGGGCGATGGCTGCAATAACATCGTGGACGCCAAGAGCCTTGATCTGCTGGTGACGGCAGATTTGACTGACCGGTGGGTACTGACTCCACAGGACGAGCATGTCCAAGCTCGTTGCGTCGCCTCGTCCAGCCACTCGACCGCAGAGCGATTGTTAATATTATTTTTTGAGAAATGCACTGACATTCATCCTTCAGGTATCACGAGCTTCTCATGCGCACATATGTCGACGACAAGGACAACCTGAAGTGGTGCCCGGCGCCAGAGTGCATCTATGCTGTGGAGTGCGGTGTGAAACAGCGCGATCTCAAGCGGATAGTGCCTACCGTTCACTGCGACTGCAAGCACAGCTTCTGCTTCGGTTGCACCTTACCCGACCATCAGCCATGCCCGTGCTCGCTCGTCAAGAAGTGGCTGAAGAAGTGCGAGGACGACAGCGAGACCGCGAATTGGATATCAGCCAATACGAAGGAATGCCCAAAGTGCTCGTCAACTATCGAGAAGAACGGCGGCTGCAATCACATGACGTGCAGAAAGTGCAGGAACGAATTCTGCTGGATATGTATGGGTCTGTGGTCGGAGCACGGCACCTCTTGGTACAATTGCAATCGTTTCGAGGAGAAGAGTGGCTCCGATGCTAGAGATGCGCAGGCAAAGAGCCGTCAGTCGCTCGAGCGGTATCTGCACTACTATAATCGATACGCCAATCATGAACAGTCAGCTCGCCTCGACAAGGACATCTACCATAAGACGGAGAAGAAGATGCAGCTCCTTCAAAACCAATCAGGTCTTTCTTGGATCGAGGTGCAATTTCTTGAGCAGGCCTCGCACGCGCTTCAGCAATGCAGACAAACTCTTAAGTGGACATATGCCTTCGCATACTATCTGGCCCGCAACAACCTGACGGAGATCTTTGAAGACAACCAAAAGGATCTCGAAATGGCAGTTGAGAACCTTTCCGAGATGTTTGAGAAGCCTACAGAACAGCTAGCAGGTCTCAAAGTCGAAATGATGGATAAGACGGCCTACTGCAACCGGCGTAGGCAGATTTTGCTGGCAGATACGGCGGAAGGTTTGAAAGCAGGTGAGTGAATCTGGCGTACAGGTGAGATTTTGCGGCGCTGACACCTCACCCAGACAACTGGCAATTTAACGTCGAACTCCAGTGAGCCGCTCGCTCGATCCAACAGCCCTCGAGCGAAAGTCAAGCTCTCAGTCCGCATGATTTCGCAGAGCGACCACCCTCATAATTATTGCGAATGCGGCCGAGCCCCCCATGACAGACGATGCTACGATTCAGTTTCTTATGTATCATTTGGGAATTGGGACACGATGCGAGGCATGGGAACGAGGAATTTGACATTTTGGCGTGGCGTGGCGCGAACGAGCCCGACTGACGGATGATTCATAGTTGGTTGCTCGCTCGCTTGCTTCTTTCCTCTTTCTCGACTACAATCATGCCGCATGGTCTGGGGCGAGGCGAGGCCTTAGTTGTGCAGTCAAGTAGGAGCGAGGCGCTTAGCGAGTTGTATGAAATGTAGATCATAACTGCCAATGTTATTATACAGAGCAAGATGGAAACTTTTCTAATCGAGATGTGTGCTCTCTCTATAGTATATAATAGAGGCTCTGCCTATAAGGAGGATCGTAGGACTTTATCTGTCTCGATCTCGTCTTTTTTTCTGTATATGGAAGGGTTCGGTATATTGAGGCACCTGTCTCTTTATAGAACGACTCCGGTTCTAAGGGACTCTCTAACCTCGCGGTAGAAGGTAGAAGATACTTTTAACTAAATATTTTCCCTCTACTTTTTACTATTTTCTCTCTCTTCCTCTCTAGATATAAGCTAAACGAAACACTCTTCGCGGAAATATTTTAAAAGTAAAAGAAACAGAAAACGAGAGAGAGTATGTTAATTCGGTTAAAAGCGTTTCTTCTTATTCTTCGTATATATATACGTATAGTAGACAGAGGCAGTAGGTAGGAGCTTGTTTATAGTAAAAGGAGAGGTTTTTACGTACTACTGCTAGTAGTAGTGAACTTATAGATTTCAAATTTCTTTTTTTTAGAAGGAGGTAAACCAAATACCCTCTTTCCTACACCTACAACTCCTCTAACTCTTCTATTATACGAGGTTCTAGATCGTTCTCCTCTTTTTTTTTAGTTCCGGTACTGTAATACGAACGTATCCGACGAATATCTATAGCCCGCCTGTTATTAGGCTATGCGTATAGATCGACTTACGATTACTTAGCCGAAAGTTCTTCGCTACCTACTCGCTCGCTTACCGACTCGCAATGTCTTTTTTTTTCATATTATAATAGGTATCTCGCCTCTATAGCCTTTACGTCCGAATAAAGTAGTCTACTTTCCCCGTTATATTAGGTATTGCTACGCCCCCGTCGTTTAGTAGCAAGTAAGTCTTAACGACCTAAGTCGCTATCGTCGTGTTAAGAAGTCTATACTCTAGCATTGTCGTTATCGTTATCGTAGTCGAGGTATAGGTTCGTAAGTTTTATTAGAGTAATCGCTACTAAAATTCAGGTTCGTACCTTAGCCGACGTGTTTAGTAAAGGCTAATGCGAACTTATTGTTATTCGGTTTAGGATTCCGCATTGTCTATACGAGGTTATTAAATAAGGTACTTTATAGGAAAAACGGAGGGAGGGAATTGTAATCCTAATCCTTATCCTTATGCTTGCTGCAGTAGTGCAGTTCAAGTTCTTTCTCTTGTTTAGGCAAGAGGACACGAGTGGAGGCGAAAGTGATCGTCGCTCAATGCTCGAGGGTAAGCGTTTCATGTATCCTCTGCGGCGTGAGACCTGTGAAGACGTCAGATTTTGAAGAGTTTGAGAATGCAATGCTCAATGCCTGCTCACGACGTCATGCTCAAACAGAAACGTAGGGGGATCAACAGAGACATGCTGGTTGATGGTCGCCACAGTGACGCAGCAGTGCTGACAGACAGGCGTCCGAAACGAATGGTCGTAGCCTTCAGAGTTCGAAGTGATGCTGCTTTGCGAACTGAAGTCGTGTGGTCCTTCCGTTTCTTTCCGAATGTGTTTGCCTCATCACACACCGCTGTGTCAGGTGCAAGCGAGGAGGCCAAATCGCAATCTCGCAGACAATCTCGCAAAATGGGAGTTGGAATGGACACCGATGTCATACATTCACCGCTTGCTCTCAGGTACGCCATACACAGATGTGGGGAGTGAGCTGTGGTGCCGCAAATTCGTGAGTACATGTACATGTGCGTGTAAAGTATGTGTCAACCATACTTCACATGCCACATCCTTAACAGAACGCATCGCCACCAGAAGGATCAACATGCGGAACCTGTACAGGACTGCCTGAGCACATACAACCACCAGCACAGTTCGCTTGGATGGACCCTCGTTTACGAAGGCCGGAAGGTCCAGGCAGTGAGGCAAGTGCAGCGATACCAAGTCGGTACCAGGAGGTTCCTGATGTGTGGGACACGAGCGAACGAGAACCGCCACGCTGAAGTTCCAGCAGGTGAAGCGAGATCATCTGCGCGGCGGAAACTCTGCAAGGTGGAATAACTGCCCTGTTCACCGCTGGAACAACTTGACGCCGCTGGCGAATGCCCAGCTCCAGCATTCGGGCCAATGGACCGTGAGCCCTATCGTCAAAGTGGATCCCGAGAATAGTGTTTGCAGGCTGTTAGGGTAGCCTTGTCGATGCAGATGCGCAGCCTTGTCGCCCGCACCTGGTAAGGCAGGTACGATACAACAAGTAGCGAAGTACCGACACGGGGTGTACATATGTACAAACGTACAAGGACAGGCACCAGGAGCTCCGTGGGAAAGCTTGGTTTCTCAATCCTCGAGGGGACAATTGACAGGCTAGGGGGCCTGGACGACAGGCAAAGGTTCCCTGGTAAACTTAACTTTCGCATGAGGTCGAAGCTAGCTGGTGAAGACCGGAATTCGTTCCTCTTATGCCGAGGGATGTCATATGGAGGCAATAGTGAAGTTACTAGGCAGGAGAGTGGCACTTTAGCGGTAAAAGCGGTGATTGTGGTTTCAGATTCGGGAATGTCGAATGCGGCAGTGGCGAGGAAATTTCGAGACTGCCACCGATTTCACGGCGAGTATCTAACTGTGTTCACCGAGACTATCGAGCGTCTTTTCGCAGTCTGCGGACTACAGTGGTCTTTCGCGGCGCAATTCAAGGCCTTGAGAGTAAGTAGCGGGTTCGTTTCCGTCCCGTATCTCTCGAATACGATAGCGATTCAAGGATGTAGTCCTCATACCCAAGTATTGTCCTCATTGAGAAGTTGTCGCGGACGGACGAATGAAGCCAATTGTTGATGTTCGAGTTCTTGGAAGATAGGCCAGTGAGATTGCCTTTCGGCAGCAGACCGGCATTCCTTGAAGAACTCCTCCTTTCTGGAAGCCTTCTCATCTAGTCATGACTGGGATACTGGTGCCTTGCAAACCATGGCGATTACCAGCTCGCAAAGGAACGAACTCGCACATGCTAGGGCTCGGTCGGCTAGCTGGGGCTCGGTTTAGAGTCCAGGAACTCGCACATCCCTTCGTTGTTCAAAGTGTCTTTTGAGACAGAGTTTCAAGGTTTTCAGGCTTTCAATGTCTGCGGGAAGACTGTGAACGGACCAGATTTCTGCTTGTGCGCGCGTTGGTCTGCACGCAAAATACCCTGCGCCACCAAACCTTGCTATCTCTGGGGACGACAATGCTGAATCATAAAGGGATTGCGAGCACACAGTACGCCGCGCATGCAATAATCTGATAGCGCGCAAAAGGCCATCACACTGCGAGCGCGCGCACGTAGCATTGGCGGCATTGTCACACGCTCATTTCCCCCCACCTGTCATCCCAGAATGTCTGGCGGCCAGAGTTCTGTCATGCACTAGGACTCGAAGCTTGTTCCGAGCTCACCGGAGGCTCATCTGTTGCATGTGGTTGGTTGTATTGGCGTCGTCATAACATCCCACGCACGCTCACCGCTTAGACTTGCTGCCACTCTCCCAGGACAAGAGCCCTTGAGCACATCCTTGTCGGACGATAGACTTCTTCCAGAATAGTATCCTTGCTTCTCGAAGAAGTTTATTCACTCCCCGGAAGGGCAACGGTCCCGGCAACCTTTATCGTTTGTATACAGCGGCTTCGCGCATCGGAGGGCTATTACTTTCACGCTTAACAGTGAAGCCGAGTTTCCAATTGGCCCAAACCCTTGCTAGCCCAGAATGGGGCAAAATTGATAGCCTTCCGATGCGCGAAGACGCTGTACGGAGTAGGTGAGATGATGCGTGTGCGGTTCCGCATGAATGCAGGGTCCACCCGATGCCGCGGTCGGTACACATGTTCTCAGAGCAGCAGACATCGTTCGCTGGTCCAACCCCGTGCGCATCGGTATGAGTTTCCTGCAGTCTTTCTACTGTATGCGCTGCGGATATGCCGGAAGATGTTGCGCAGAATGTTACTCTCGTCTTACAGCGTGCGCAGTCGCGCCGTAGATCGATCAGTCCACTCTCATCGAGAGTAGACAACTGATTGTGACTTTGTTGCTCCCACTGATGCAACAGCGTCTTGACGTCCCACCAAGCAACCGCAATAGAACGGGCTCATGGTGGAAAATTGAAGTGGCAAAGCAGATGGAAAACCTCCGTCGCTCCCTTACCAGCTCCATGTCCGCTCGGGGCCGATGCATTTCCGCCAGGCCATGCTGAATTAGGAATTCCATGGCGGAGAAAGGCGTATATGACCGTCTCGATTCCGTTGCATCGATTGCCTTCAGAGGTAACTTACGCGTCTTCATCGAAGTCTCCTGACGCCGGCAGATAAAAGGAGAAGATTAGAAGTACGGTTTACTGTCGACCGGGTAGAAAGTCATTGGTCGCTTAATGATTCCCCGTTCCAGTAGCCTGGTAGGATATTCGGATAATATCTGGCTTTTCCTGCGAAATGACGTTCGGCCATGTAGTGTCGCACGTCGCACCTTCACATGCAGTCAACAATGCACATATAGTGCCTGATAGACGGCAACTGTCTGACAAGCAGGCGGCAGAAAGAGCATATCAGAGAAATTCGGAAGCGAATTGATTTGCCCGTCTCCACCACGCAAGAGCACCAAGAAATATCGCCTTTACAGTACTGGTCGGTTCGCAGTGAATTTCGAAGGCAGTCATTGTATCACAGCTCACATATTCTACAGCCAGGTGTCCGATTTTGGCGTCTGCCACCAAAGCCTTTCCAACTCAAGCGGCAAGCGACAAGCGGCACGGCATCCAAATGCGGTCGATGACAACATTGAACTTGGCAGTGACATGGGAGCCACGGCGTGGAGAGCCCGTTCAAGTGTCTGGTCTTGGGATCCTGCCGGCTGTATCTTTGGATTTCTCGAATGACTCAATGGCGGTGTCGGACTGTTGTGACCTGAGACAATGTTGCGAGATATCGAAGCCAGGCCAGTGCTGCCGATTGTCAGGATGTATGAGCGATCCACGAGCTGTCAGTGAGCGCAAGGAGCGCAAAGAGGGAAGCGAGTGTGCGGCCAAGAAGCACTCGGAAACGACGCACCAGAAGAAAGGAGCGTGAAGCAGGACAGTACGCGATAGACACGAGGCGCGCTTCTGTTGTGACGGTCAACGGCGCATCTGCCACTGCCACCAACGCGCATCCGCGTCAGATTTGCATCGCTGAAGAACACGCCGCTATATTCATCGCGCAACTGCTTGCACACCTTCAAGCACGGCGGCATGCGAAAGGTGGCAGCGAAGCGGAGGAGGTCGTCGACCACGAGCTCGTCGCACATCTGGTCGCGCAACGCTGGCGGGAGACACAGCAGCGCGGGCAAAGCGGCAGTGGTGGTCATGGTCACATCCTTGATGCCAGCGATGCGATGCGATGCGAGGCGATGCTCGGAGATGTGATGGAGCTGTACATACAATCATGAATTCGCAGTGGTCGATATCCGATATCCGTAGTCAACTTCCCTGTCGCCAGCGCGCCCGCCTCTTGCTTTTCACCTTGCCAGCCACCAGCCCAACGATGAATGTGCCAACGCGCCAACTCTCCCACACTGTCCATCACCCACGACTGCCTCCGCTCATTGTATTCATACCGCAGCACAATTGATTGTACGAAGAAAGAACAACAAGCGCATTGTTTGCCCGCATCCATCGGAGCGGCAACGGCAACGGCACCGGCACCGGCAACGCCCTTCGACCACATCCTTGCCGCACAGCAACGCAACGCAACGCAACGCAAAACGCTCGAGCACTCGAGGAGCTCGAGGCGGCACGGCACTGAGCACACCACCAAACACACCGACCGCCAGGCACGTATCTCTCACCACTCCCGCTTTGACGCCAGCCAAATCCATTCGCCGCAATGCCGGTGATTCCACGAGCTTTATCCACCCTGCCCGACGATACGCGCGTCCTGGACTCGCGACAACTACGCATTGCTGCCTCACACATCACGCGTGCCCTTTCGAACCTCTCACACAACCTGCGACGCACCCTGACAACCCGGCAAAGTCGTGCTGTCGTAGCCATACCGACACAGTATGAAGGGATCAAAGCCGGTCCCTCGCCAGGTGCAGTGGCAGGAATCGTGCTCGGCAGCGTGGCCGGCTTCCTCCTACTCATCTGGTTGCTCTGGATCGCAAGCAGCGGCTCCGGCTTCATTCGAGCCACAAATCTCACGGAAGAAGATGTGGTGGTGAGACGAAGGAATCGAAGCAGAAGCACGAGACGGAGCAGGGCCAGGACCGAAATGACGAGCAGATCCCCACGACGAGAGCGCGTAATTCGACAAGAACGAATCATCAGGGATCATGTTCCTCCGCCACGAGAGCCGAGCCGCGTACGGGAGACGATTGTCGTGGAAGAGGAGGAGCGTAGAGTGCCGGGCGACGATATCGTCGAAGTCATTGAGGAGCACTCTAGTGTTGGTGTCCCACCGCCAAGAAGAAAGAGCAGGCGGAGTAGCGCCGGATACAGGTGAGCATCAGTCCAAACCACCCTCTCTCTCTCTCTCAGCGGCGATCACAGTAGCTGCTCATCATCAAAGAATCTCCGAGCCGGAATTCCGAGAGTGCAGCACTGATGTCGACAGCAACCGAGGATGAGCAGAGCAGCCTGAACGTAAGACTTACACAAGCAACACAACAGGCGCGGAGAGTTCAGTGACTACTAATTTTGTCTCGACTCGACAACAACAACCTCTTCTTCGACGTCTGCCACCATTTTCGAAACAAAACAGCATTGATTATGGATTTCACGGGACTTTGGCGGCGGCGATGTGTGCATAGTGTACAATTACGAGTTTCGAGTTCCGCATGAATGGGACGGGACGGGATGGGAATAGCGATGGCGTTTTACTTTTGCGGGCACAGATGGAGGATCTGAATTGAATGGGAGACGATGGCAGTGAGAGAGGAAAGGAAGGATGGAGATACCCCCCCCTGTTTTTGCTGTGATTATGATTAGCTTGAGTTGGCCGCCAGGTGCGTACTAAGTGACTCTCTCTCTCTCTCTGCACAAAACGCGCGTGCAAATACTAAATACGCATTATACTTGTCAAATCAATCTTCGTGGCTCTTCAATTCTCAGTTCTTAAGTATATCGCTCGAGGTCAGGTAGGCAGACGGATTTACGAAGCGGGAAGTCGACCGTCTTATTATAGTACTTAGTAGCTCGAGCTGTGTATAGACGACATACCTTATCTTCTTACTTACCTAAAGCAAAAGTTACGGACCTATAATGTAAGTTCTTAGCTTTAGCATTTGTATACCTCCTATTTCGTAGCAGACGGTAATATTCGGTAATTTTTTATTTAACGAGAATTATCGATCGACCTTTATTCGACTCGTAGGAAAGAGAAAGAGAGAGATATATATAATAATAGCGCTTCTTAGCTATACTCGGTAGGAAGAAGGGCGAAGTTAGAACAAAGTTCTAACTTAATACGTATACTCTTTCCTAGCTTATTTATATATATTATATACTAGATTTTAGAAGGCAAAAATTATATTCGTCGAAGGACTCTAACTTTCGTAATAGTTATAGGAATTCCGATTATTATTATTTATTACTAGTGTTTATATAGCTCGAAGAGCTATAAGTAAAGGACGAAGTGCTATAAGTAAAGGCCGAAGAGCTATAAGTAAAGGCTAAGGCGACAAGCGAGGTAGGGTAAGCTAGATTCTAGAAGATTCTACGGCGGCTATAGCCGTGCCGCGCTAGGCAATAAGGCGGAAATCGTTACAAATCGCGCTTTATAAATCGCGCGCCTTTCTAATAATAACTTCTTCTACTTACTATTACTTACTACTACTACTACTACTACTACTACGACTCGTTACTACTCCCTTTCTATCTTTACTAAGCTAGATACTATACCTACCCCCTATACTAGCCCCTATAGAAACCCCGAGTAAGATCTCGAGCGCTACTAGTAAGTTTAATATTATCGCTAAACCTTTATAACCGCGTCGCTAATAGTATTAGTCGCTTAAGTATTTAAAGGTAAGGAGGTTATCGATCTCGCTAGTACGTCGTCTAACGAGTCTCTCCCTCGCTCTACGAAGCGAGTTCTAGTTAAAAAGACCGGCTCTAAGAGGGTCGCGACTCTAGTAAGTCTTGTTTATAAATATATATTGCTAGATATACTAACCCTTAAAGCTCGTCGTAGGCGAAGTCTTCGTACGTTTCGTTAGTAGCGTAGTACGCCGCCTTACCTTTAACTATACTATCGTCCTCTAAGAGGGCGCTAAGACAATTAAGTACTAGTAGTCGCTAGGCACCTCTACCGTTAACGCCTAGTCGTACGCTATCCTTCTAGGCTTGGACTTTACTTGCGACTTCGACGCTAGCTCCCCCTTCTTCTAGATAGGACCTAGTAATCGATTTGCTATAGGAATCTATATCGCCGCTACTCGTAAGAACGCGATAATCTAAGAATAGTATACTAATTAAGAAGTTAAAAGTTAGAAAACGCAATAGGAAATAAGATAAGATATACTATTTATACTATAAGGCGCGGACCGATATATATACTCTACGGAGGTTAGTTAGCCCTTTATAAAAAATAAAATCTATAAAGTAACTTATAATCTTCTCCTTCCTATTTTTATCTCGTCTACCTATATAATAGATATATACTAGGCCTACAATGTCGGTTAGCGAAGCTAGTAATGTTTAATCTCGCGTTTCTTAGTACGTTACCGCTGTTATTGCTATTCGTATCGTAGTCGGTTTGAAATATATACCTAATCTAGTTAAGTCTGCTCTACTACCGCGACGACTCCTATACGAGCTCGCTTATTGCCTATTTTCCGTATATAACCGCTTGCAATCTCGCTAACACTCTCGTAATATATATCTCGAATATACTACGTCGGAAACGTAGGAGAATTAGAATACAACAATTCCGCTAGAAACTCGAAGAGTTACTAGAGCTATACTTTGCTTATACTTCGCCTAAGTTCTTCCGCTTTCTAAGATACGTCCGGAGTAAAGCCGTATTCCTACTAGTAGCTAGCATCTTCGGCGGAGATAGTCTCTTAATATTCTAGGATGCCCTCTTCCTATTCGTACTCCTTAGATAGAGGTCGAGTATTCGATTTCGAAGCCCGCCCGCTATCTTCGAATTCTAGTAATGCTACTCTCTTCCGGTTATGGTTTATATAGCTAGTATAGCTCCTAGGATCTCCTCTATAAGCGCAATTACTGTATAGTAGCTTTAGCGCTAGGTTATAGGAATAACGGCACCCTTCGAAATAACTACGGTTAGATTCGTAAGTTCTATATTTCGAAGGAAAGGGACAGTTTAGTATAGCGTAACTTCTAGCGTCTATACCGAGGATATAGACTAGCGCCGCTCGCCTCGCTCTCTTATTAGTACCCTTCTACGTTACGCCTTCTCCTAGTATACGTATATAGCCCTCTCGAAATACTAGATCTCGCCCTTTACTGCTTACGATTTTCTTTGCTAGCGCGTAGTCCGTAGTTCTGGTTTCTTAAATTTTACCTTTTTAATATACTTCTACTACTACTTATACGAACTATTACGCGTAGTCCTTTCCTACTTTAGGTACGATATTAAGGCTCGATATTATATTAGCGCTAGGAGTATAGTAGAGAACCCGAAGAGAAAGGAGGATAACTAAGAGAACTACCGGGAACTTAGCTTATATAGATAAGGGATAAGCGGCTAAATAACAAGGTTCTTAGTACTTCGGAGAAGTAGTAATACGCTAACTGTATTTAGGTAGCTAACCTCTATACCTAAAGAGAAAAAAATGCTACTACGGATAGAGAAGTTTTATATATATATATTATAGAGAATAACTACTAATCGTAGCCTAAAAGTCTTTTATATCGAAGTCGAGATCTACGTCTTAAAGTATACTAAGGATCTTAGCTTCTTATTTATATCCGACAACCGGAGCCTTTCCCTTAGTAACGTCGCCTAGCCTTAGAGTACGAGGTAGCGTTAGAGCGTATACTATCGAGGTCGGAGTAGAGTCTTAAGTGCGGGATATAGGCTTCGAGAGGAATACGGATTGTCCGGGTAGTTAGTTCCTAGAGAACGAAGGACCTAGAATAGGCGTAGTATCCTTAGAAATCTATTAGATTATACGCGCCGCAGATGCGGAACGAGGTACTAGTATAGGTACTAGCGTAGGTAGTGTCGATAAGGTCTTAGTTAGATCTGCCTACGCAATCTCCTTCGAAGGTATTATTTTAGCCGTAACTTATATTATCTATTAGGCGTTACTAGGACCCGGGGCTAAGTTCTAGAAGTAGACTAAGGAGTCGTCTAGTTAGTATCTAGGAAGTTCTACGAATAACGGTCGGCGCGAAGTTTTCGCTAGCACTATAGTTAGCGTAGTTTCTCGCCGGCTTAGCTATTATCCGACTCTAGTATCGACTAACGTCCTATCTTCGTCGTTACCTAGTACGAATG